GTTGGGGCTACAGCCAAGCATGATGGTGTGATGCATTGGGGCTACAGCCAAGCATGATGGTGCATTGGGGCTACAGCCAAGCATGAGGGTTCTGATGCTGTTGCGTGTTGTCTGGCATGTGTCACCAGAGAGCAGCCTGCATTGGTCGTGCCGCCGAGTGAACCCCCACCACCCGCCCCTCCCCCACCTTGGTTGCGCTGCACCGTGTGTCACCAGAGAGCAGTGTGCATTGGTTGTGCGACCAATTGACTGGCCCCCTCTTCCCCCTTACCTCCCCTGCTGCACATCCCGCACCAGAGAGCAGCCTGCACTGGCTGTGCCAGGATGCCATGCTGCTGGCTTACAGAGTCAACGCCATGGGCCCTATGCTCGTGCTCAAAGTGAGAGCTGAGGCGATGGGGTAGGATGGGATGGGATGGGATGGGATGGTATGGGATGGCTTGAGATGCCTTAAAAGCCAATCCGAGTCAACGCCATAGGTCCCATGCTCGTGCTCAAGGTGAGAGCTAGTGGCCCGGAGGGGGTGAGAAGAAGGTGAGGTATAAGGGGTCTCTGAAGTCAATCCGAGTCAACACCATGGGGCCCATGCTTGTGCGCAAGGAGAATGCTGAGGCGATGGGATGGGTTTAATTGGTCATATGATTGTGTTCGATGGGTTATTGCGAAATCTCCAACGTCCACAATTTTCCTCCTCCCCTCTTGCTCATGCACAACAAGTAAGTCTGGCACTAATTTAGTGTGAACCTAACAGCATCATATCAACCTTCATCCCCCCTCCCCCACTCCCCCCCCCCACAGCACATGATGCCTCTGCTGGTAACGGGCGGCCACACCAACCCCAACCGACCCTTCTCCTTAGTTGCCAACATGAGCTCCCGCACGGGGTCCATCGCAGACAACCACATTGGCGGCTGGTACTCGTACCGGGCTTCTAAAGCTGCTCTGAACCAATGTGAGTCCGAGGGGGCTCTGAACCAATGTGAGTCCGAGGGGGCTCTGAACCAATGTAAGAAGTCTACGTAACCACAGTGTGTTTTGCCTAAGGGTCCATCTCAGACAACCACATGGGCGGATGGTACTTGTACCGGGCTTCTAAGGCTGCTCTCAATCAGTGTAATTCCAGTGCTGCTCTAGATGCCAGAACAAGTCACAAACATGAGTTCGCGCATGGGGTCTATCTCAGTCAACCACATTGAGGGTGGTACTCGTACCGGGCTTCTAAAGCTGCTCTGAACCTATGTGAGTCTAAGGGGAATTTAACCAATGTACGGTGGACCTACAGTGTTGCTTTACAGTGGCAAACATGCGCGCTCCCAGGGGGTCCATTTCAATAGCCACATTGGGGGATGGTTCTCCTGCCAGGATTCTAAAGCTGCTCTCAACCAATGTGAGTGCTGGACGCCAGGCAAGATAGCTGGACGCCAGGCAAGATAGCTGCCAGACAAGATTGAGGCAAGGCAAGGCTCAAGGTGCATTTCTTGGAGTCAGGGCTGAGGTCTTCCACCCTTCTGTCTCTCTTTCTCCTTTCGCCGACACTGCCCCTTAGTACCTTAAAGCCAGATACCCAAGTTTCCAGAAACTCAACCAAGTGTTTTACAACTGGTTGCTACTCGCCAAACCCCTCCGCAGGGCTTGCTACTCGCCACCAATCCCCCTCTCCGTCAGTCACCAAGATGGCAGCAGTTGAGCTGGCCGTTCAGAAGAGCCCAGTGCCGGCCGTGCTGGTACACCCCAATACCTTTTTCCGAGTGGCTTACAAAGTTCCCTTATGCCCTCCCCCTCCCCCCCCTTACCTCCCATTCCCACAGTCACCAAGATGGCAGCAGTTGAGCTGGCCGTTCAGAAGAGCCCAGTGCTGGTCGCGCGGCTACACCCCAATGCCTTTTTCCCTGTGGCTTACAAATTTCCCTTATGCCCTCCCCCTCCCCCCCCCTTACCTCCCATTCCCACAGTCACCAAGACGGCAGCAGTGGAGCTGGCCACCCAAAAGAGCCCAGTGGTCGCAGTTCTGCTACACCCCGGCACTGTAGACACCGACCTCACCCGCCCCTTCACTGCGCACTTGCCGGCTGACAAGATCTTCACTCCTGATTTTGCCGCCGACCAGCTGCTGACGGTTATTGATGGGTTGAGTGAGAAGGACAACGGCCGCTTTATCGCCTATGATGGCACCGACGTAGCGTGGTGAATGGGGAATGTAAAGAGAGCGCCAGGAGATTCACTGGGGAGTTGGCTGCCAGCCAGCTACTGGGTGTTCTAGAGGGGTTTAGCCCAAATTGCTATGACTGGTTTATTGCAAATGGTATGATGGTACCGTTGTAGCCTGGTGACGGAGAGAATGTAAGGGTAAGGTTAATGGCACATCACAGCTTGGTACCACGCTCTCAAATGCACTTAATAATGAACGTTTGCGAAGAATTTATCAAGGATGTTCGGTAAGTGTTTAGGAAATCCATCTTCGCGAAGTCCAGTAGTAAGAAAGCGCACCACTTTGTATCGAAGACAAGTACCTCCACCGAAGCCGAATTCCTCGGGTCCATTTCAGCGCCGCTGGCAGTATTTCATTACTTCCGCACGCCCCGTGTTTTCTCCCCTTGCGCTGCTGCGTTCTACACAAGCGCTTCCGCTTTGCGCTTTCCTCGCTTACCTAGTCCGCGTCGACCCCGTCCGCGCTCTCATGATGGCGGCGCTTTCCGCGCGAGCTGTCTCTGCCGTTGCGCCTGCTCCGCTGCTGGCCTCCCCGCATCCGCATTGGCGCGCTTCGCCAGCAGCCAGAGGCACGTCGCTGCGGATAGGAGGCGCGGGGAAGCGCGGCGGCTGTAGCAGTGGCGGATGTAGCCGCGCGGGCAGGCGGAATCTAGCCGTAGTTGCGCTGGCTGCTCCGCCTGAAGCCGTGTCCGGGATTGTAGAGAGCGCTGCTTCGTCTCTGGTGAGAGAAACGCTCGGGCTCTCTCCTTCTCTATTCCCCCTTTCTCTTCGCTTCGTATCTCCCCTCCCCACCCTTCTCCCTCCACACTCGACCTCAACCCCGCCCCAACCCACACACACACCCCCTCTCTCTTGCCAGGTGTCAGCTGCTGATTGGACGAGCCACCTCGTGCTCGCCACGCTCAACACGGCTGCCACGCTGGCATCAGATGGGCCAATAGAGATGCCCCCCGCGTCAGGCGTGCCCGCGTACCTGGAAGACCCCTGGGCAATCCCTGATGTCTCTCCCCTGCAGTCCTTTGCCAGTATCCTACTGACCGGGACTATTGGCGTGCTGCTGTTTCGGGCGCTGAAGAGACGAGCAAACAAGGTCACAGAGTCGGTGAGCAGGGGTGGGGTGCGGTGCATTGTGGTTTCATGTGGCTGGATTAGCCTTCTTATCTCTCTCCCTCCCTTCCCGTAATCACTTCTCCTTCCCCTTCTCCCTCCCCGCGCTCTCTCCCCCACGCCCTCTCTCGTCCCTGCCCACCCGTCCCAGCGCTTCTGGTCAGACTCAGTGGAGAGGCTAGACTCCAATCCGGTAGCAGACGAGAGGAAGATACAAAGCACCTATACCAAGGCACTTCTAGGATGTCTCATCCTTTTCCCTCCCATTCTCCTTCTCTCTCCCCTCCTCCCAGCGTTTCCGGTCCGATTCAGTGGAGAGGCTAGACTCCAACCCAGTAGCCGAGGAGAGGAAGAAAAAGGCGGCACAAGCGGCAGAGGAAGCTGCCAAGCGCGCGCCACCCACGGTGCTGAACACTCTGGGCGGCGCACTGGTGGCGGGGTCCATAGCTATTGTGCTGTACAAGTTTGCATCGTCTGTTGATGACGTGTTCGCGGGCCAAACTCTGTCGACGACCTACACGGTACGTTGCTATTGCTTTGTTTTTAAATGGTTGCTCTACAAGTTTGCATCGTCGGTGGATGATGTGTTTGCGGGGCAGGTGTGGTCCACCACCTGCACACTATATTATGGGGCACTTCAGCATGCTTGCTGCTGCCTTTGCCTCACGTGTTTGACAACCAGACCCCGGCCTACAAGCTTCACGGCGTGGGGCCACAATATGCTCAATACGTACAGCATTTTTTAAAGCAGTTTCAGTGCCCACTCAAGCATTGACGACCATTTTTTGTAACCCTCCCCATGCCCACTGGCCCTCCCTGCCCCCCCACTCCAGGTTCGCAACCTCTCAATTGCTGTCAGGTACGCTCTCCAGGCAACCCCGTTTCCTGCCTATGACCTTGCGGATTTTTTCTTTTCTCACCTGGTCTCGCGTTCGGTTTCGTTGCCACAGCTCTTCCGCTGCCGCCTCGTGCAGCATTCGTGTGCTGCTGTCAACAAACAGTGTACACACGTCACGCTGTCTCGTGGTACTCATTGCTCTCGCTTCCACCTACGTAACCACCCCTTCTCAAAACCACACCCCCACAACCCCCCGCCCCCCCCCCCCCCCCCAAAAAAACCCCTTCTCCACTCGCCCCCTTCACTCCCCCATTCCCCGCCGTTCTCTCTCATGGCACCTCAGGACCATAGTGTCTGGCTTGGTTTGGCTCGCCACATTTATTTTTGCCATCAATTCCCTTGGCCTCACACTCTACGCCTTCCAACTGGCGCTGGGTCTCGACTCCGCTAAAGACAGCCCCAATATTGGGAGCAAGGCAGACGCAAGTGTCAATGGATCCAAAGATAGTGAGCCTAAGGAGACGGAGCTTTCTTCTGGGAGTGAGGAGAAAAAGCCAGCAGGCTTCGGAAGCTCTTCAAAAGAAAATGGGGGGAATGAAAAGAAATAGAGCTTTTGACAAATTATTTGCTGGAGCATTTTTTTGGTAGGAGACATTTGTGAAAGCGTTTGTGGTTTTGTATGTCAAATTGTTGTCGCTTATTGCAAGTGTCATAATGTTCATTTGTTTCTGTGACTGCACGTGTTAGCGCGGCCGCTAATCTCGAGTGCCGCCAATATTTTTTCCTGAATGACAATCTCGAGGGCTTGGGTTCTCGCCCGTCAGAACTGCAGGGGCCTAGAGATTGCCATTGGCGCGAAAAACATTTTGCCATCCCCAGTACTGCGATTCCGTCTGACCAGACTTCGTCACTGATGCTGAGAAACTACGAGTGACAATGGCAGAGGCTCCACTTGCATGAATCCATGGCGGCTCATTGCCAACCCTTGTCGGACCTGGGTTTGAGGCTCGACGAGATTCCAGGCTCTTGAATGAGGGGACGCTAGTAATAAAGCCAGTGCTTCAAACTAGGGATCGCCACTACAGTTTGATTTAGCAGCGCTCCCAGCCACGGCGATGACGCGACGTGATGCCTTTTGAGACGTTATGCGCGGACTGAACAGGACAGAATATTTCTTAACGACGCTTGTCGTCCTTCCGTCCCCTAGAAACCCGAATCAGCATCGCACCCGTCCATGGCGACGGAACGTGGCTTCTCGGGACATTTTGCTCGGCGAGATTTGACCATGGACCGGAGAAAGGAGGATTTTGTGTCGGCTCAATTGTCACCTAGGGGCTTCTCAAGACCTTATGCGCGACGGGACCTGGCACGGGGTCGGATTCTGGGCCGGAGAAAGCCAGGCTGGACAGCATGCTTTCAAACGACGCTCCTCGTCTCGTTCCTCCTCTCCGTCTCGTGCGCGGCTCAAGGTGAGCCGCTACAAGGCAATGTATTCCGGATCCTAACGTGCCTGATTGAGACGATTCGCGATTTGTTGAGCACCTGGGGGCTACGGCCTTGACAATATCGTCTATTCTCTTCGTGGCCACGATCCATCTCTTTCCGCTTTCCTTCCCCGTCCCATCCGTTCTTCCTTAAACATCCCATCCCATGATCGTTCCAGCTCGAGCGCAAATAGAAACAGTTTCGCCAGCGCTAGCAGCGCCAGCAACAGCCGACCCAGCATCGGCCAATCAAGCCGCCGTTTCTTCGACATTTCAGACAACCGGCCAGCCGGCTGTTCAGTCGGCCGACGAGGTGCTTCTGGGTCGAGTGGCCGAGATAGAGGCGGAGCTCAACCGTCAGATGCAAGAGGAGCAGACACTGCAGCGATCACAGGGTGTTGTATCCGCCGCAACTTATGCTGCTGGTGATGCCACAACCACTCCTGCTTCTGCTGCTGCTGCTGCTGCTGCTGTTGGTGGTGGTGTTGCTGCTGCTGCTGGAGCGGACGCTACCACTGCTGTGTCACCTTCCATCTCCGCTCCTCCCCCTCCTGAACTCCCCCTCCGACTCTCGCCTCCACTCGCTTTCCCACAGCATGCGCCACCCTTCCCTCCTCCCGTCCCCCCTCCACCATCCCTCCCTCCCGCTCCGCTTCCCCCACCTCACTCTAGCAGAGGAGAAGACAGAAGAGAAGTAGAGGGATGGGGAAGCAACGCGGGTATGGATGAGGTGCTTCTAGGGAGGGTGGCTGCGATAGAGGAACAGCTGAGGCAGCAGATTGCAGGGTATGGAGAAGGGGAGAACAGAAGGGAGAGTGGGGGGGAGAGTGGGAGGGAGAGTGGAGGAGAGAATTCAGGGAAACGCAAAGGGGAGACGGAAGCGAGTCCAAGAGCGGATGGAGCAGAGACTACAGGGCAGGAGAGAAAGGATAGCTCCCCCCAACCCCCCTCACACCCACCTCCCGCCTCTCCTCGTCCCACGGAACCCCTCTTTACAGTCACATCCCTGAACCGAACCATCCGCAGAATCGATCTCAACAAGACCTTTCTAGAGCACCACCACCATTTCCAGAAAGGAGAGCCGAAGCTGGAGTGCGCAGGCGAGCCCTGCCCAAACCTAGGCTCCTGCGGTCCAGCGTTCCCGAACCTGCGAGCCTGCTACTGGCCGAACCTGGTCGACGCGGAATACCTGTTCCCGGACCAGCCTATTAACTGTCCGAAAGTTATGGATATAAGTGTAGAAGGGGGAAAGGAGGTGTCAGATAGCAGGTGCACTCATAAGGGGGATAATCTGCGACTTGATATGTTTCTGCCGCAGTACTACGAGCTGAGGAATGTGTTTTTGGACGGGGATGGGCAGGTGTTTAACAAGACGATGTACTTTGATCGGCACAGCTGCGCTGACAAAGGCAATGTGAGAGCATGAGGCAATGTGAGAGCATGAAGCAATGTGAGGGCATGAGGCAATGTGAGAGCATGAAGCAATGTGAGGGCATGGCAATGTGAGCGCATGGCAATGTGAGCGCATGGCAATGTGAGCGCATGGCAATGTGAGTGCACGAAGCAATGTGAGCGCATGGCAATGTGAGCGCATGGCAATGTGAGTGCACGAAGCAATGTGAGTGCATGGCAATGTGAGTGCATGACAATGTGAGTGCATGACAATGTGAGCGCATGACAATGTGAGCGCATGGCAATGTGAGCGCATGGCAATGTGAGTGCACGAAGCAATGTGAGCGCATGGCAATGTGAGTGCACGAAGCAATGTGAGTGCATGGCAATGTGAGCGCATGACAATGTGAGCGCATGGCAATGTGAGTGCATGGCAATGTGAGCGCATGACAATGTGAGTGCATGACAATGTGAGCGCATGACAATGTGAGCGCATGGCAATGTGAGCGCATGGCAATGTGAGTGCACGAAGCAATGTGAGCACATGGCAATGTGAGCGCATGGCAATGTGAGCGCATGGCAATGTGAGTGCATGGCAATGTGAGCGCATGACAATGTGAGCGCATGGCAATGTGAGTGCATGGCAATGTGAGCGCATGACAATGTGAGTGCATGACAATGTGAGCGCATGACAATGTGAGCGCATGGCAATGTGAGCGCATGGCAATGTGAGTGCACGAAGCAATGTGAGCGCATGGCAATGTGAGCGCATGGCAATGTGAGTGCACGAAGCAATGTGAGCGCATGGCAATGTGAGCGCATGGCAATGTGAGTGCATGACAATGTGAGCGCATGGCAATGTGAGTGCATGAAGCAACGTGATTGCATGTACCACCAACTCGTGTCTCCCATGTATCCTCTAGGAACAGCCTTCTACCACGGACTCATCGAGCGTTGAGGTGCCTCAACCCTTCATTGCCCCTGCTGTCTCCCTGTGCAGTTTTCTTTCGAGCCACCTAGAGCCAAAGTGCGCCATTACCACCAGCTCGTGTCGCTCATGTACCCGCTCGGCATCGCCTTCTACCACGTGCTCATTGAGCTCGTGCCGCACCTCTTCATCCTCTCCCCACTGCTCCGAGACAATCCAAATATCCCCATCGCCATCGCATCACACCAGGTATGTCCCTTTAAGCCACCAGGCGTGCCCCACCTGGTATGCTGTGTTACCCCATCCATCCAGGTGCATGCCTTGTACTGCCTTCTAGCACGTGCTCATAGAGCTCGTGCCGCACCTCGTCATCCTCTCGCCGCTGCTCAGAAACAACCCCACCATCCCCATTGCCATCACATCACATCAGGTATCGTCTGCTCATCAGTGGTGCCTTTCCTTGGCATCAGTGCTTTCGTCTCTCCCAAGTTGCAAATTTGTGTGCGTGCTACATGACCCATTCAGGTGAAGGCGTTCAACCACCTCGTGGTGCCTTTCCTTGGCATCAGCGCCAGCGATCTCAACCTAGAAGTCATTCCCAACCGACATGCGGACGTGAACCTGATCATTCAAGTGGATGTCCTGTACCAGGTGAGTACCATTACCTCTTGTACCAGGTACCATAATTTCCTGTGTAGCATTATAGCGTTGTACTGCCTTTCCTTGGCATCAGCGCCAGCGATCTCAACCTCGCAGGTATCCCCAACCGACATGCGGACATGAACCTGCTCATCCAAGCGCATGTCCTGTGCCAGGTGGGTACCATGACCTTTTTTACCAGGTGGGTACCATGACCTCTCATTGTGGGTACCATGACGTCTTATACCAGTTACCAAAGGATTATGTGTGGCATTAGAGCGTTGTAGCGCCTGTCCTTGGCATCCCAAGAGCCCGACCCCAAGAACCCAATCCCAAGTGCCCAATCCCAAGAAGAACCCAATCCCAAGAACCCAATCCCAAGAACCCGATCCCAAGAGCCCGATCAGAAGAACCCAATCCCAAGAACCCGATCCCAAGAACCCTATCCCAAGAACCCGATCCCAAGAACCCAATCCCAAGAACCCTATCTCAAGAACCCGATCCCAAGAACCCGATCCTAAGAACCCAATCCCAAGAGCCCAATCCCAAGAGCCCCATCCAAGAGCCCGATCCCAACGACCTGATCCCAAGAACCCGATTCCAACGACCCGATCCCAAGAACCCAATCCCAAGAACCCGATCCGAAGAACCCGATCCCAAGAATCCGATCCCAAAAACCAATCCCAAGAACCTGATCCCAAGAACCCGATCCCAAGAACCCGATCCCAAGAGCTCAATCCCAAGAGACCAATCCAAGAGCCCGATCCCAATAGCCCGATCCCAAGAACCCGATCCCAAGGACCCGATTCCAAGGACCCGATCCCAAGAACCCGATCCGAAGAACCCGATCCGAAGAACCCTATCCCAAGAACCCGACCCCAAGAACCCGATCCTAAGAACCCAATCCCAAGAGCCCCATCCAAGAGCCCGATCCCAACGACCCGATCCCAAGAACCCGATTCCAAGGACCCGATCCCAAGAACCCAATCCCAAGAACCCGATCCGAAGAACCCGATCCCAAGAGCCCGATCCCAAAAACCAATCCAAGAACCCGATCCCAAGAACCCGATCCCAAGAACCCGATCCCAAGAGCCCAATCCCAAGAGACCAATCCAAGAGCCCGATCCCAATAGCCCGATCCCAAGAACCCGATCCCAAGGACCCGATTCCAAGGACCCGATCCCAAGAACCCGATCCGAAGAACCCGATCCCAAGAACCCGTCCTAAGAACCCGATCCCAAGAACCCGATCCCAAGAACCCGATCCCAAGAACCCGATCCGAAGAACCCAATCCCAAAAGACCAATCCAAGAGCCCGATCCCAATAGCCCGATTCCAAGAACCCGATCCCAAGGACCCGATTCCAAGGACCCAATCCCAAGAACCCGATCCGAAGAACCCGATCCCAAGAACCCGTCCTAAGATCCCGATCCAAAAAACCCGATCCCAAAAACCCGATCCCAAGAACCCGATCCCAAGAACCCGATCCAAAGAGCCCAATCCCAAGAGCCCAATCCAAGAGCCCGATCCCAATAGCCCGATCCCAAGAACCCGATCCCAAGAACCCGATCCCAAGGACCTGATACAAAGGACCCGATCCCAAGAACCCCATACGAAGAACCGGATCCCAAGAACCCGTCCTAAGAACCCGATCTCAAAAACCCGATCTCAAGAACCCGATCCCTAGAACCCGATCCCAAGGGCCCGAACCCAAGAACCCGATCCCAGAACCCGATCCCAAAACCCGATCCCAAGATCCCAAGAAACCGATCCGAAGAACCCAATCTCAATTACCCGACCCCAAGAACCTGATCCCAGGAACCCGATCCCAAGAACCGGATCCCAAGATCCCAAGAACCCGATCCCAAGAACCGGATCCCAAGAACCTGATTTCAAGAACCCGACTCCAAGAACACGATCCCAAGAACCAGATCCCAAGAACCCGATCCCAAGAGCCCGTTCCCAAGAACCCGATCCCAAGAACCCGATCCCAAGAAACAGATCCCAAGGACCCGATCCCAAGAACCGGATCCCTAGAACCCGATCCGAAGAACCGGATCCCAAGAACCTGTCCTACGAACCCGATACCAAAAACCCGATCTCAAGAACCCGATCCCAAGGGCCCGACCCCAAGAACCCGAACCCAGAACCCGATCCCAAAACCCGATCCCAAGATCCCAAGAAACCGATCCGAAGAACCCAATCTCAATTACCCGACCCCAAGAACCTGATCCCAGGAACCCGATCCCAAGAACCGGATCCCAAGATCCCAAGAACCCGATCCCAAGAACCGGATCCCAAGAACCTGATTTCAAGAACCCGACCCCAAGAACACGATCCCAAGAACCAGATCCCAAGAACCCGATCCCAAGAGCCCGTTCCCAAGAAACCGATCCCAAGAACCCGATCCCAAGAACCCGATCCCAAGAAACAGATCCCAAGGACCCGATCCCAAGAACCGGATCCCAACCCGCCGATCCCAAGAACCCGATCCCAAAAACCCGATCCCAAGAACCCGACAATCACAAGAACCCGATCCCAAAAACCCCATCCCAAGTACCCGATCCCAAGAACCCGATCCCAAGAACCCAATCCCAAGAACCCGATCCCAAGAACCCGATCCCAAGAACCCGACCCCAAGAACCCGATCCCAAGAACCAGATCCAAAGAACCCGATCCCAAGAACCCGATCCCATGATCCCAAGAAACGGATCCCAAGAGCCCGATCCCAAGAGCTCGATCCCAAGAACCCGACCCCAAGAACCCGACCCCAAGAACCTGATCCCAAGAACCTGATCCCAAGAACCCGATCCAAAGAACCCGATCCCAAGAACCTGATCCCAAGAAACCGATCCCAAGAACCTGATCCCAAGAACCCGATCCCAAGAACCCGATCCAAAGAGCCTGATCCCAAGAACCTGATCCCAAGAACCCGATCCGAAGAACCCAATCTCAAGAAGCCGATCCCAAGATCCCAAGAACCCGATCCCAAGAACCTGATTTCAAGAACCCGACCCCAAGAACCCGATCCCAAGAACCCGATCTCAAGAACCCGATCCCAAGAACCCGATCCCAAGAACCCGATCCCAAGAGCCCGATCCCAAGAGCCCAATCCCAAGAACCCGATCCCAAGTACCCGATTCCAAGGACCCGATCCCAAGAACCCTATCCCAAGAACCCGATCCTAAGAACCCGAGCCCAAGAACCCAATCCCAAAAATCTGATCCCAAGAACCCGATCCCAAGAACCCGATCCCAAGAACCCGATCCCAAGAGCCCAATCCAAGAGCCCAATCCCAATAGCCCGATCCCAAGAACCCAATCCCAAGAACCCGATCCCAAGAACCTGTCCTAAGAACCCGATCCCAGGAACCCGATCCCAAAAACCCGATCCCAAGAACCTGATCCCTAGAACCCGATCCCAAGAACCCGACCCAAGAACCCGATCCCAAGGACCCAATTCCAAGGACCCGATCCCAAGAACCCGATCCGAAGAACCCGATCCCAAGAACCCCATCCCAAAAACCCGATCCCAAAAACCCGATCCCAAGAACCCGATCCCAAGAACCCGATCCCAAGAACCCGATCCCAAGAGCCCAATCCCAAGAGCCCAATCCAAGAGCCCGATCCCAATAGCCCGATCCCAAGGACCTGATCCCAAGAACCTGATCCCAAGGACACGATCCCGAGAACCCGTTCCCAAGAACCCGTCCTAACAACCCGATCCATAGAACCCGATCCCAAGAACCCGATCCCAAGAACCCGTCCCGAGAACCCGATACCGAGAACCCGATCCCAAGAACCCGATCCCAAGAGCCCAATCCCAAGAGCCCAATCCAAGAGCCCGATCCCAATAGCCCGATCCCAAGGAACCGATCCCAAGAACCCGACCCCAAGAACCCGACCCCAAGAACCCGATCCCAAGAACCCGATCCAAAGAACCCGATCCCAAGAACCCGATCCCATGATCCCAAGAGCCCGATCCCAAGAGTTCGATCCCAAGAACCCGACCCCAAGAACCCGACCCCAAGAACCCGACCCCAAGAACCCGATCCCAAGAACCTGATCCCAAGAACCCGATCCCAAGAACCTGATCCCAAGAAACCGATCCCAAGAACCTGATCCCAAGAACCCGATCCCAAGAACCCGATCCCAAGAAACCGATCCCAAGAACCTGATCCCAAGAACCCGATCCCAAGAACCCGATCCAAAGAGCCCAATCCCAAGAACCTGATCCCAAGAACCCGATCCGAAGTACCCAATCTCAAGAAGCCGATCCCAAGATCCCAAGAACCCGATCCCAAGAACCTGATTTCAAGAACCCGACCCCAAGAACCCGATCCCAAGAACCCGATCTCAAGAACCCGATCCCAAGAACCCGATCCCAAGAACCCGATCCCAAGAGCCCGATCCCAAGAGCCCAATCCCAAGAACCCGATCCCAAGTACCTGATTCCAAGGACCCGATCCCAAGAACCCTATCCCAAGAACCCGATCCGAAGAACCCGATCCCAAGAACCCGTCCTAAGAACCCAAGCCCAAGAACCCAATCCCAAAAATCCGATCCCAAGAACCCGATCTCAAGAGCCCAATCCCAAGAGCCCAAACCAAGAGCCCGATCCCAATAGCCCGATCCCAAGAACCCGGTCCCAAGAACCCGATCCCAAGAACCTGTCCTAAGAACCCGATCCCAAAAACCCGATCCCATGAACCTGATCCCTAGAACCCGATCCCAAGAACCCGACCCAAGAACCCGATCCCAAGGACCCAATTCCAAGCACCCGATCCCAAGAACCCGATCCGAAGAACCCGATCCCAAGAACCCCATCCCAAAAACCCAATCCCAAAAACCCGATCCCAAGAACCCGATCCCAAGAACCCGATCCCAAGAGCCCAATCCCAAGAGCTCAATCCAAGAGCCCGATCCCAATAGCCCAATCCCAAGGACCTGATCCCAAGAACCCGATCCCAAGGACACGATCCCAAGAACCCGTTCCCAAGAACCCGTTCCCAAGAACCCGATCCGAAGAACCCGATCCCAAGAACCCGTCCTAAGAACCCGATCCCAGGAACCCGATCTCAAGAACCCGATCCCAAGAACCCGTCCCGAGAACCCGATACCGAGAACCCGATCCCAAGAACCCGATCCCAAGAACCCAATCCCAAGAGCCCAATCCAAGAGCCCGATCCCAATAGCCCGATCCCAAGGACCCGATCCCAAGAACCTGATCCCAAGGACCCGATACCAAGAACCCGATCCCAAGAACCCGATCCCAAGAACCCGATCCCAAGAACCCGTCCTAAGAACCCGATCCCAAGAACCCGATCTCAAGAACCCGATCCCTAGAACCCGATCCGAAGAACCCGATCCCAAGAACCCGTCCCGAGAACCCGATACCGAGAACCCGATCCCAAGAAACCCTTCCCAAGACCCCGATCCCAAAAACCCGGTCCCAAGAACCCGGTCCCGGGAACCAGGTCCCAAGAACCCGGTCCCAGGAACCCGATCCCAAGAACATGATCCCAAGAACCCGATCCCACGGACCTGATCCCAAGAACCCGACCCTAAGAACCCGATCCCAAGAACCGGATCCCAAGAACCTGATCCCAAGAACCCGATCCTAAGAACCCAATCCCAAGAACTTGATCCCAAGAACCCCATCCCAAACGCTCGATCCCAAGAACCTGATCCCAAACGCCCGATCCCAAGACCCCGATCCCAAGAACCCGATCCCAAGAACCTGATCCCAAGAACCCGATCCCAAGAACCCGATTCCAAGAACCCAATCCAAAGAACCCGATCCCAAGAACCTGGTCCCAAGAACCCGAACCCAAGAACCCGATCCCAAGAACCCAATCCCAAGAACCCAATCACGACAGTCCTATCCAAGGTCCCGATGCGAAGCGCCCAATCCATGGTCCGGATCCAAAGCGCCCGATCCGAAGAGCCCGATCCCATGAGCGCAATCCGAAGAGCCCGATCGCAAGAACCCGATCGCAGGAACCCGATCCCAAGAGCCCGATCCCAAGAGCCCGATCCCAAGAGCCCGATCCCAAGAGCCCGATCCCAAGATCCTGATCGCAAGAGCCCGATCCCAAGAGCCCGGTCCCATGAACCCGCGGATCCCAAGAACCGGCCGATCCCAAGAACCCGATCCCAAGAACCGTGTCCCAAGACCCCAATCCCAAGAACCCGATCCCAAACGCCCGATCGCAATAGTCTGATCCAAGGTCTGGATGCCAAGTGGCCGATCCAAGGTCCCAATCCAATAGGCCGATGCAAGCACCGGATGCAAAGGACCAATGCAGGCGCCGGATCCAAGGGTCTGATGCTAGTGCTTCCTCCTCTCCACGGGCCCTTCTCCTCCTATCACCCCCCTTCCCTCCCCCAACCCAGCCAGTGTACAGAGCCTGCGGTCGCCCCCCCCCTGCTATGTGGGGGGAGCTGCGCCGGCACTTCCTGCTCTTAATGCCTCCTCATGTCTACCCGTCCGGTGCACCTCTCTCATCTCTCCTTTCCCAGCCAGTGTATCAAGCCTGCGGCCACTCCGCCCCTGCCATGCGGGGCGTGCTGCACCAACGCTTCCTGCTCTTCCTGCCACAACTGCCCTCCTCACCCCATCACCCCCCTTCCCCCCTCCCCCCAACCCAGCCAGCGTACCAGGCGTGTGGCCGCTCCGCCCCTGCCATGTGGGGCGACTGGGTCGGCGCTTCCAGCTCCCTTGTATGTTCCCCACCCCACCCTCCCATCACCCCCTTCCCCCCGCTTCCCCCCCATTCCCCCCCCCCACCCCCCCAGCCAGCGTACCAGGCGTGTGGCCGCTCCGCCCCCGCCATGTGCGGCGAGCTGAGGCGGCGCTTCGGGCTCCCTTGTATGCTCCCCACCCCACCCTCTCATCACCCCCTTCCCCCCGCTTCCCCCCATTCCCCCCCCCACCCCCCCAGCCAGTGTTCCACTCGTGTGGCCGCTCCGCCCCCGCCATGTGGGGCGAGCTGAGGCGGCGCTTCCGGCTCCCTTGTATGCTCCCCACCCCACCCTCTCATCACCCCCTTCCCCCCCGCTTCCCCCCATTCCCCCCCCCACCCCCCCAGCCAGTGTTCCACTCGTGTGGCCGCTCCGCCCCCGCCATGTGGGGCGAGCTGAGGCGGCGCTTCCGGCTCCCTTGTATGCCCCCCACCCTCCCATCACCCCCTTCTCCCCCACTTCCCCCCCGCTTCCCCCCCAACCCCCCTCCTCCCTTTCCCCCCACCATCCCAGCCAGTGTACCAGGCGTGTGGCCGATCCGCCCCTGCCATGTGGGGCGAGCTGCGGAGGCGCTTCCTGCTCCCCCCCAACGGCCTGCCTCTGTTCCTCCCGGGCTTTGTCCCCCGCCACAACCACACCTATGTGCCGCCAGCCACTACTGGTACAGCAGCCAACACCAACAGTGGTGACAGCAATATGACTGCCAGCAGCACAAGCAGCAGCGCCAGCACCAGCAGCGGTGGCAACAGCAGCAGTGAGGGGGGAGCAGCAGTTGACCCCACTACTATCACACTTCCTGTAGCAGCAGGCGTTGCTGGCAACGACGTGCCTCTTTGGACTGATGAACAGACGGCTCGACTGCCGTACAGCTGGCGCGCCGTGATTGCGCACCGCCGCGGCGCCATGCGCCACCTGGCGGGGTTTGATTTGCTCGTGGCAGCGATGGGGAGGGTGTTCCCGCCACAGCGGGTGTTTGTGTTTGAAGGCGACCTGCCCATGCTGCAAGGTGAGCTTTGTTGAATGAGGTGGTTCTGCTATGCTGAAAGGTGGGGTTTCTATGCTGAAAGGTGGGGTTTTTATGCTGAAAGGTAGGCTTTTTATGCTGAAAGGTGGGCTTTTTATGCTGAAAGGTGGGGTTTTATGCTGAAAGGTGGGCTTTTTATGCTGAAAGGTTGGCTCTGCTAGTACTCAAGGATCCCTACGTAGCGGCGAGGAGGAGAGTGTCTCCGCCGCAGCGGGTGTTCATGTTTGAAGGAGACCTTCCCATGATGCAAGCTGCGGTGTGCAATGGCGACAGGTGGGGCTTGTTATGGTGAAACGTTGGTGCACTATGCTGGTATCTGACTGTGAGGGCGAGGAGGAGGGTGTTCCCACCGCAGAGGGTGTTTGTGTTTGAAGGGGACCTTCCCATGCTGCAAGGTAGGCGCCAATGCTAGAAGGAATAGTGAGTTCTGCTATGCTGTGAGGTAGTTTGTTGTGCTGACAGGTGGGTTCTGGCGCTGAGATAGGTGGGCTGTGCTAGTGACAACGGGATACCCATACGCCAGCGGTGATGAAGCGAGTGTTCCCCCCGCTGGGGTGTTTGTGCTGCAAGGTGGGGCGTGCTGCAAGGTGGGGCGTGCTTGAAGGTTGGGCCACGGAAGGTTTTTCTATGGAGAGCAATGCAACCAAGTTCCTTGGATATGCAACCACCGCCCACTGCCCACCGCCCACCGCCCACCGCCCACCGCCCACCGCCCACCACCCACCGCCCACCGCCCACCGCCCACCGCCCTTCCCCTCTCCCTTCGACCCTCCCTGCATCGCCGTCTCTCTGCACACAGTTAGGCTTCTCGTCAACCGAGCAGCTGTCTGTGTTGGTTTGCACGGAGCAGACCGTTCCAACATGATCTTCATGCCATCCAGTTCCCTCCCTTGCCCCCTTTGCTCCTATACCTGCCCTGCTTCCAGCCAAGCTGGTGCTCAACCGAGCAGCCGTCTATGTGGGCCTCCACAGGGCAGGTCTCACCCACATGCCTTTCATACTGTCCAATTCCTCGTCTCTCACCCTCCCCTCCCCCCCACAACCCTGTGGTTCTCCCAGCCAAGCTGCTCTTCAACCGAGCAGCTGTCTATGTGGGCTTGCATGGAGCAGGCCTCACCAACATGATCTTCATGCCATCCAACTCATGCATCTTTGAGATTCGCCCCAACAACTACCCCAACCCCTGCTACCACCACCTCTCCATGGCCACACGCCAGAACTATTACCTGGTTTTTGGGAATGGAACTAAGGACTCAGAGTTGACGTATAACATGAGTGAAGTGGAGAGTGTTCTGGGGGTGATAGCGAATCGGACAAGAAGGAGGATGTCGAGGGAGTGGTGGGAGGCAGAGGATGTGGGTACGCCGTTTGATGAGATAAAAGAGAGAGAATACTTGGATGTGACTTTAGCGAATGGGATGCATGAGGGAAGCATACATCCTGATGAGCAAACTTCTGTCCAACTGTAGTACTGTATGTCTATACATCTGTTATCAAATGTGGAGCTCGTGTGTGCCTAAACACTGCAGGACTGTAAGGGGAGCCACCCCCTACATTGTTGCACAGAGCCATGGATGGTTCTGTAGCTCCAAGCGGCCTCGTCCGTAATCCCGGCATGGACCCAAAATGAAATTTGTCGCACCCTTCGAAGCCAGGGTCAGCAGCGGGCCAAAACACCCTGGCACCTGAGGTAGCGAACTCCCGTGGCATGGTTTATCAGTGAACATTATTTCAAGCCTGATTGAACAGCCTGTTCGTCAACAGGGTGCTGCTGACCATAACAACAATAACAAATGCTACCACCGCTGCACTATAAGTGCATGTGAGTGAGTGGGTGGCAGACTGCCCTCGCTGGCAGAATTACAGGGGTGTGGCAGAAATTGTGCCTGTTATGCACGATGGGCTTGGAGTTATTGGTTTCAGGATAGTTGCCTTGTTGCCCTGCCTTGCTGCACTGGGCCGCAGGTCCGCGAACCTGGATTGGAACAAAGCTACACCTTTTTTTGAAGTGAGGGTTCTCCGAAGCCTGGAGAATCAGCCCAGCATAAAAAACGGCCTGAAAATCGGGGTAATCAGGGCATTGTACCCGGATATAATGGGGCCCCAGTTCAATCTAGTAGTTGTCCCCCCGAAATGCAGTACCACCAGACTCAGAGCCAGCACCATCACCAACTCCTGCTGCTGCTGCTGCTGCTGCTGCTGCTGCTGCTGCTGCTGCTGCTGCTGCTGCTGCTGCTGCTGCTACCCTAATCTCTATCCAACCTGTATGCTCGCCCCCTAAACACAGCACCACCACCAGCCCCTGCTGCTGCTGCCGCCCCTCCCGCTGCTCCTGCTGCAGGCCCGCGGCCGCCAGGTGGCGCACCCTGGTTGGCCCGCGGAGGTGCCTGTGGTTGCACCATGTTTGGCGCTACAGCCGCCCACTGTGCCACGAGCCGGTGGCTGAAAGAGGGGTAAGGGTAGGCAGCGTGGAGGGAGGAGAGGAGGTGGGCCGTGGGTAGGTGGAAATCCAATCCAATGCATACACGAGCGGGTGGTGCTTGGGGCTGGACCATGTGTGAGGGTCACAGCCGCGCACTGCGCCACAAGCAGGTGGCTGAAAGAGGGGTAAGGGTAGGCAGCGTGGAGGGGTGAAGGGCAGGGGTAAACTGGAGGGGTAAGTTCGCATCCAATGCATATACGAGCTAGGAGTGCCTGGGGCTGCACCATGTGTGCCCTGATTGCCCGCAGAGGTGCTTGCGGCTGCACCATGTGTGGCGCTACAGCCGCCCCCTGCGCCACGAGCCGGTGACTGATAGAAGGGGGATTGCGATGAAGGGGAGGGGTGGGATGGAGGGAGGGGTGGGATGGAGGGGAGGGGTGGGATGGAGGGGAGGGTGGGATGGAGGGGAGGGGTGAGATGGAGGGGAGGGGTGGGATGGAGGGGAGGGGTGGGAGGGAGGGGAGGGGTGGGAGGGAGGGGAGGGGATAAGACAAGAGGGGGAATGTGGCACATGCTGAGCTCGTCCTCCTGGCACACGGCAAAGAATACAGAGGAGAAGAAGAGGAACACAGACACCCAAAGAGGAGTAAGGATGAGCCCCCCGTGCGGGGATAGACGACACTGGGGAAGTGGTAGATGTGGCTTTAGGGCTCACTTAAAGCCCCCCCAATAAGGAGAAGGAAATGAAGGGAGAGAAGACTTACACCCAAAGAGGCATGTGAATGAGCTGGGGTCCCCCTGTCCTGGGATACACAGCCGTGAGGAAGTAGTAGATGTGGCAGTTGGGCTCAATACAAGGCACCTCGATATACAACAGAAGGCCAGACTTACACCCAAAGAGGCGTGTGAATGAGCTGGGGTCCCCCTGTCCTGGGATACACGGCCGTGAGGAAGTAGTAGATGTGGCCGGCCACAATGCCGGCTAGCGGGTCAACGATGCTCATGCCAAAGAGCAGGTCCATGAACAGGTACGCCCAGGGGAGGTAGAACGCCTGCAGGAAGCAGCAGAGGAATATGGGAAAGGAAGTCATCAGGAAGACGATCTGTGCTCGTTCAAAAAGATGGTAGCAGGAAAAGACGACATAACCCAAGGAGGACACTTACCGGCATGAAAACATAGTGGCACCGAGGACGTACCGGCATGGATAAGAGCCCCATGAAGTTGACGACACCGTTGGGGTTCTCTCGGCTCCACAGGTAGAGCACGGAGAGCAGCAGCGGCTCGCTGAGGAAGAAGATTTTGAAGGGGATGATGAGCGCGATGAGCAGCAGGCTGAGCGTGTTGACCATCAGCATGTAGAGGAAGTCCGCTGTTCTTCCTGCGAAGGCGGACGTCTCCATCTGTACACAGTAGCGAGCCCTGCGAGATCGAGGGAGGAGAGAAGGGAAGGAGCAGCAGAAAGGGCTGAAAGTGTTGACCACGAGCATACAGAGGAAGTCTGCTGTTCTGCCTGCGAATGCTTGAGTCTCAATTGTACACAATAGAGAGCCCCGCAAAAACGAGGATGATGGTGTAGACACTGTTGAAGATACCTGGTTCTGATGACAAGGAGAGAAACTCTGACAGCCAGAGCACTGCCTCTGACCGCCAGAGCTCTGACTCTGACCGCCAGATTACTGCCTCTGACCGCCAGAGCTCGGACTCTGACCGCCAGAGCCGTGCCTCTGACGGCCAAAGCCCGGAATCGAACCGCCAGAGCCCTTACTCTGACCGCCAGAGCCCTGCCTCTAACCACCAGAGCTCGGCCTCTGACCGCCAGAGATAGGACCCTGATCGCCAGAGCGCTGCCTCTGACCACCAGAGCCCTGCCTCTGACCGTCGGAGCTCTGACTCTGACCGCCAGAGCCCTGCCTCTGACTGCCAGAGCTCGGACTCTGACCGCCAGAGCACTAGAGCACTGCCTCTGACCGCCACAGCTCTGACTCTGATCGCCAGAGCCCTGCCTCTGACCGCCAGAGCCCTGCCTCTGACTGCCAGAGCTCTGACTCTGACCGCCAGAGCCCTTCCTCTGACCACCAGAACCATGCCTCTGACCGCCAGAGCTCTGACTCTGACCGCCAAATTACTGCCTCTGACCGCCAGAGCTCGGACTCTGACAGCGAGAGCTCTGACACTGACCACCAGAGCCCTGACTCTGACCGCCAGAGTCCCGCCTCTGACTGCCAGAGCTCTGACACTGACCACCAGAGCCCTGCCTCTGACCGCCAGAGCTCTGCGTCTGACCGCCAGAGCCCTTCCTCTGGCCGCCAGAGCACTGCCTCTGACCGCCAGAGCCGTGCCTCTGACACCCAGAGCTCTGACACTGACCGCAAGAGCCCTGCCTCTGACCGCCAGTTCCCTGCGTACGACCCCCAGAGCCCTGCCTCTGACCTCCAGAGCTCTGACTCTGACGGCCAGAGCCCCGACTCTGACCGTCAGAGCCCTGACTTTGACCGCCAGTCTGACCGCCAGAGCCCTCCCTCTGACAGCCAGAGCACTGCCTCTGACCGCCAGAGCCCTGCCTCTGACTGCCAGAGCCCTGACTATGGCCGCCAGAGATCTGACTCTGACCGCCAGGGGCCCAGAGCACTGAATCCGACCGCCAGAGCCCTGCCTCTGACCGCCAGAGCTCTGACTCTGACCGCCAGAGCCCTGCCCTCTAGAGCCCTGCCCTCTGACCGCCAGAGCATTGCCTCTCACAGGCAGAAGTTTATAAGCAACGCAGGAGGAGAAACGGCGAAGAGGGAGGAAGGAAGGGGGAGGAAAGAAGTGGGAGAGGGGAACTTTCCGATAGAGCAAAAGGTTGTTCTTACACCATGAGGAGGGTGAAGACAAATCTCATGCTGAAACCACCTGCAAAGAGGAGGCTTGTAACGAGACGCCATATCTGAGCACGCACATGGCAACGGAGTGACGGCACATGGGGAGGGCACGGAGGGGGGGACACGGGGGGGGGGGAAGAGGGGGAACATGGGGAGGGCACGGAGGGAGCAAAGGGGAGGCCATACAGGGGGGCACAAAGGGGCGCTTAAAAGGCGGGGGTTGGAGGGAGGAGAGTGGAGTAAGGAGCAACGGCAGGCAAAGGGGCGGCGCCTGGGATTGCCGGCATGTGAGGGAGTAGTCGATGAACATGGGCTGAACTGGCTTTTGACAAGGTTGACATGGTGCAGCGTTCAAAACGGAGCTTTGGACCTGAGATTTCTGGAATATGAGCGCGTGGTCGAGGAGCATGAGCTGCACCGGCAGCACTTTCAAGAATGGAGAAGTCTCAGAACCCGCACATGCTGTTGAGTCGATTAAAAGGTCACCTGGAATTTATGGAATATGAGCGTGTAGTCGAGGAGCATAAGCTGTAGTGGCTTATGAAAAGGTGCGAAGGTAAAAAGGGAGATCTGGACCTGAAATTTCTGGAATATGAGCGTGTAGTCGAGGAAAATGAGCTGCACTGGCAGCACTTTCAGCTGCATGGCGCATGCCGTCGCGAATAGAGCCGTGCCCCACGCCTTGCTGACCGGCGGCAGAGAATTGTACCACCTGACGTGGTGTGGGAAGGGATTCGCAGCATGTGACGCATTTGAAAGCATGGAAACGTTATAGCTGACTGGCACCAAGCTCGAATAGAACCGTGCCCCACGCCTTGCTGACTGGCGGAAGAGAATTGTACCACCTGACGGAGTACGGGAGGGGACCATGTGTGACATATAAGGGCGTGGAGACGCTACGGCTGAGCGGGACATGCCGTTGCCAGTAGCGCCGTGCGCCACGTCTTGCTGAGCAGCGGCAGAGAATTGTACCAGATGACGGGGCGTGGGAGGCGAACACGTGAAGCATATAAGGGTGTGGAGGCGAACACGTGAAGCATATAAGGGTGTGGAAGCGAACACGTGAAGCATATAAGGGTGTGGAGGCGAACACGTGAAGCATATAAGGGTGTGGAGGCGAACACGTGAAGCATATAAGGGTGTGGAAGCGTTACGGCCGAGTAGAACATGCCGTTGCCAGTAGCGCCATGCCCCACGCCTTGCTGGCATGCGGCAGGGAGTTGTACCACCTAGCGGGGTTTTTTCTAAACTTACTCTGCGGGACTCGCAGCTGCCATGACGACACAACCCCGACGATCCCGACAACCTCGCGGATCGCGACAATCCCGACGATTTCGAAGATCCCGACGATCCCGGCCGTGTCCAAGCTTCCCGGCCTTGGGGACGCTGTCGACAGCTTCTAGTAAGCTTCGAAAACGATATGCAACACGGATCTGTCAGCTTTCCAAACAAGCGTCGCTGCAAGCCCCGGAATTACGTCAGACCTTCCCGCGATATGCTGGGTTGGGATGGGGACTTGGACGGGCCTTGGCTAAGGGTGCGGCCTTGAAGATCTAGCTAGACTTCAACTCGGAGTTCGCTTGTATTTCAGGTATTCCCAAGGTAGAGTGAATATCGAACTGAGGAACTGGAATCCCAGAAGCTCAACGAAAATTGGAATCTGGAAGGTCGAGGAAGATCAGGAAGCTGAAATCGCTGCTGGGAAGTTCTAGAATTCTGTGTTGCTCGTCGGGCTGAAATATTCTTCTAGAAAATGCGAACAAACACGACGCCGCAACCCTCCGTGCAGCTTTCGTCCCACCTCAAACCAGCCTCCAAAATGTTCGCAATCACGCTTCAACACATGGTTACCAGACTCGCGTGTTCTCGTCAACTTGCGACCTGGTTCTGGTAGCTCCCCTCCCCAGCTGCTAGCAAAGGTGTGCAATAACCAACCGAGGCCAAGCTTTGCTGCAGGTAGCTATTTTCAGCATCCTGGTTCTATGCAGCCAAGTATTGGCCAGCGCTGGTTGCTGCCATTGCGATCAAAGCTGCATTTCTCCCTGGATTCCTAGCCCTCCGCTAATAGACCACGAGATATTGACTCTCGAGTCTCGACTCTCGAATCTCGACTCCCTCAGTGTCCCTCAGAGTCCCTCAGAGTCCCTCAGTGTCACGGCAATTTCTAGGCGTTGAGAGCTTCCTTTGGTATGGCGGACCGGCTGAAGGGCTATCGGAGACAGGCTGTATCGCCGGCTGGCATGACGATTCAATCCAAGTCGACGGTGGTTAAACTGCTCGCGATTCTCGCTTTCTGGATCGCCGTGATAGGCGGAATACACTTGCTTCGCACGTCGTGTAACTTTTTCGCGAGCTCGTCGCGGAGTCCGACATCCGAATTGTCCGCAGGATTCTCGAATTCCTCGAGAACGCCGAAGCGCTTGTTTGTTAACTACGCGCATAATTGCTGCTACGTGGGCCAACGGACGTCCTGCGAGGCCGCGTTACAGCACGGCGCGGACCGCTGCATTCCATATAATCACTCCTCCTTGGATCCCGTTTTTACCTCCCGGAACGATAAGATTCTATCCCTTCCTCGAGGCGTGGGATACTGGGTGTGGAAACCGTACCTTATACTGAAGACGCTTTTAGAGGAGATGCAGGATGGGGATTTGTTACTATACGCAGACGCGGATAGCACCACAAACGGGAATTTATCCGCTTTATACGGTCTTGCAGCTGGCGGCGGGAAATCCTATGCTTCGGGCGGGATAGTGGATGAGCTTCTAACGAGGATGGTTCTGGACGATGGGGAGGATTCGGAAGGAGCAGTTCGGGAGGTTATTAAATGGGCTTTAAGTCAACAGGAGGTTCATTTGTTTCAGTTTCCGCCCAATTTCGTGGAAGCCTGCTGGACTAAGATGGACGCTTTTCTGCTGCTCAATTGCACTGATGAAAACATCTGCATGAAATCCGCCCAGGTGAGCTTATAACGAGTATGGGCCAAATTGGGGTGGTTTAGACTGGATTGCTATTATGCATGGTATCGACCCCTCCTACCCTCTTATCCCCTGTACTCATTATCTTCCTTCTCACCTCCCCACCCTTCCCCCGCTCTCTTCTCTCTTCCCTCTTCCCTGCTCACCCCACTCTCTCCCCCCCTTCCCCATCCCCCTTCCGCCTCCCTTCCCCCCCCCCCCTCCTCCTCCCCCAATTTACATCAAACCTGTCAGGCCGATGCCGGCTTCTCTGTCTGGCGGCGCGGGCGGCAGTCGATTCAGTTTGCTGCCCAGTGGCTGGGGTACATGGAGGATGCGCGCGTGTCAACGGACATGCCCAACCAGCTGGGGCGGCCCAACCACGCGTGCTTCATGGACCACCGCCACGACCAGTCCGCGCTGGGGCTGCTGGCCAAGCGCTGGGGGCTGCAGATGTGGGAGCACACTGCTGTAGAGGCGGTGATCAGCCATCATTGGAACAAAGAGTAGTCAGGCATGAGGGGAGTGAGCAGAGGTGGGACAACAGTGCGTTACGGACCACCGGCACAACCAGTCAATGCTGGGGCTGCTGGCCAGGCGCTGGGGGCTGCATATGTGGGAGCATTCGGTTGAGGCGGTGATTAGCCATCATTGGAACAAGGAGTGACAACCTCGAGTTGCATGCATGCGTCTTCAATTGGGTGGTTACCGTAATTGGCGGATAATGATTTTTCTGGGTAAGTGAATCACCATACCGCTTGTTCTCTATTGAGGTGACTTCCCTGCCAGGTGACTTTGGTGCGCTCTCCTTTCGTAATTTCCCCAGTATTGATACTGCCAGGTGACTTTGGTACCTGAGCCCCATTATTCGTTCATTTCCTTATCCCAGCATTCCCTCATCCCAGCATTCCCTCATCCCAGCATTCCCTCATCCCATCATTCCCTCATCCCAGCATTCCCTCATCCCAGCATTCCCTCGTTGCCTCATTGCTTCCTGCCCCCTTCTATGGCTCCACAGTCTTTATGCCCTCTTTACATAGCTTTCCATCTCCCCTTCTCCCTCGTGTGTTCCTGCCCACCATTGTGGCACATCATCCCATGTGCAGTGATGGTGCACACACGTCATGGCTCATGTCTCATCCACACCTCCTGCTAGGAGGCGGGAGAGTAATCAGGAATGGTGGTGACGTTAAGATACTTTCTTGTAGGGTGCGCTAATAAAGGCCTAGGGCCTAATAAAGAGGTGGTCTTTCTGACATTGAGTTCTAGGTAGACATGAGTTCCAGCTTGCCCAGACTGTTGCCGAACCTACTGAGGCATGGGCTTGAGCTCAATCTCGAGGTTCAATGTCGAACCAAACACTGGCAGGTCACCAGGGTCTACATTGGGCACGCTGCTTGCAGCCAGCTTGGCTGCCGAACCGGGGGGGGCGGTTAGAGATGCAGGTTCGGCAGCCAGGTCCGGGGAAGACTGGAGGGCGTCTAGTACCATCTGGAGGAACAGCCGATGCCTGGTGAGGTGGGGGTGGGGGGGTGGAGCGCAAGAGAGCAGGGAAGAGGGGCGAGTAGAGGCATTACGACTAGAAGGTGAGTGATCAGCCCAGCAGCGTCTCAAAGAGCGTCTAGAACCATCTGGAGCAACAGCCCATGGCTGTGGAAGGGAAGGTGGGGGGGGGGGGTGAAGGGCAGGAGGGCAGGGAGAGGGCAGGGAGAGGGTTGGGTAGAGCTGTTAGAAAGAGGAAGCGTTTAGAAACAGTAAGAAAAAGGTGGCAGGAAGGTTGGAACAAAAGGAACGAGTGATTGATCTGGCAAAAGGCAGAAGGCAGAGAGCTCAAACGCATGTGAAGCGTGTAGTGTTGATGTCTCACCATCTGCGATCGGCAGTAAGGTCTGGGTGGAATGCTGTAGCGAACAGCTTGCCCTGCCGCACTGCCACTGCCATTGCTAGCATGCTACAGCTGTGGGTGGCTGCAAGGGCGCCAGAACGAGTGAACCCGTAAGCAGCTCTCACCATCTGAGGTCGGCAGTCAGCTCTGGGTGGAATGCTGTAGCCAGTAGCTTGCCCTGCCGCACTGCCACTGCCACTCGGTCAAGCTGCCAGCAGAGACAGGTGGGATTGTGGGGGGGGGGTGGGCAGGGGGGTGTAGGGTGTGGTGTGGGGGGAAGAGGAGTTGAGGTCAGGTAGTGGTAACCAGTGGCTTTCCCTGTCTCACTGCCACTGCCACTTGGTCAATCAAGCTGCCAGCAGAGACAGCTGGTACGTGACAAGGGAACTTTTGAGTCTGAGCTAACAAGGCTTGTCGACAGTCAGCTCTGGGTGGAATGCTGTAGCCAGTAGCTTGCCCTGCCGCACTGCCACTGCCACTCGGTCAAGCTGCCAGCAGAGACAGGTGGGATTGTGGGGGGGGGGTGGGCAGGGGGGTGTAGGGTGTGGTGTGGGGGGGCAGCTGGTGAGTCTGACTCAAAAGTCACCTCAGAGACAGGTGGTACGTGACAAGGGAAGTGGGAGACAAGAGAGGAGGAAAAGTTAAGCAAGCAAGGAGCGAGGAGAGGAGAGTTAACAAGCTAGAATTATCAGCCCACGAGCTCTGAAGGGAGTGGAGCACATTCCGAGGAACAGGATGTGTGGGAAAGGCATACAGGCCCTTTGAAGCTTTCCCCATGTGAATCAATCACCTTATCTAGGATCTCAGCCTCGGAGAGCTCTTGAGCACTCTGGCCAGGCACTGCCGAAGCGGTGGCTGCAGGCTCGGCCGAACCAGCGCCTGCATGTGCTGCCGTGCCAGCAGGTGTGGCGAGAGCAGAGGCACGATTGGGGAGGGGGTACTCTGCAAGCACTTCCACAGCAGGGCCGGTTTGGATGATGGCGGGCGCTCGGATGAACACGGCGCGGAATGGAGAGGCGTCGGGGGAGGGCGAGGAAGAATCAGGAGAGGAGTGGGGGAGGGATGGGTCTGCTTGGGGAGGTGTGGGCGGTGCTGCTGCTGCTGCTGCTGCTGATACTGATGATGTGGTGGTGGTGGAATGCAGAGTGTGGTGGGGGAAGGGCAGGAGAGTCTCGAAGCTGTTGATCTGCATGGGGAGGAGGAAGGGAAAGGGACAGATAAGTTAACAGGAAAAACCATCTCTATCCATCTCTATCCGTCTCTATCCTGACTGGGACGCTCCATGCGACCCTGACTGTCTCACCTGGCTGCCAAAGAAGTTGCGGTGCACCGTGCAGTCCAGCCCTCCCAGCAGCGCCTGCCCGCCCGACTTCTGACCTGGCATGGGACATGCCGGGATGTCAAGACAAAATGAGTGACAGGAGAGTTTGAAAGACGTGGCGAAATACGAGAAGATGCCAAGGGGCGTGAATGATGGAGGGTGGAAGAGAGGAGGCAGGCCAGAAAGAGTACAAGAGCGAGGGCTTTGACGAATGGACTGCACGAATGCGGCCGATGGAAGGGGAAACCTTCTGCCGCAGAGGGGGCGATGTTGTGTTTGACGGATCAATTTCATACGACGGAGAAGACCCTGGCGGATAAGTTAAGAGACTTGGAGGCCGCCACGAGAATAGAGAAGTCGGAGTGGGAGCGGACGGCACCGAGGTAAACGGACGACTGGAAGATGCACTCTCCAAGTTACGGGAGCAGGCCGCGGAGCTCACCAAGTTGCAGACGGAGCTCACCACGGAGTACCGTCTGCAACTTGGTGAGCTCCGCGGCCTGCTCCTGTAGTTAGGTGAGTGCATCTTGCAGCCGTTCGTTCACCTCGGTGTCCTCCGCCTCCACTCCGGCTTCTGTATTCTCGTTGCGACCTCCAAATCTCTCAACAAATCCGTTAGGGACTTTTCCGTCGAATGAAAATGATCCGTCAGACGCGACATCACCCCCTCCGCGGCAGAAAGTTTCTCCTTCCATCGGCCACATTCGTGCAGCCCGTTCGTCAAAGCCACATCCTATCTCCTCTATCTACCCCCCTTTTTTGCATCCTCCACCCACCTAGCGCCTTGGTCACCCACCTAGCGCCTTGGTCACCCACCTAGCGCCTTGGTCACCCACCTAGCGCCTTGGTCACCCACCTAGCGCCTTGGTCACCCACCTAGCGCCTTGGTCACCCACCTAGCGCCTTGGTCACCCACCTAGCGCCTTGGTCACCCACCTAGCGCCTTGGTCACCCACCTAGCGCCTTGGTCACCCACCTAGCGCCTTGGTCACCCACCTAGCGCCTTGGCCGCCCACCTAACGCCTTGGTCACCCAACTAGCGCCTTGGTCATCCACCTAGCGCCTTGATCACCCACCTAGTGCCTTGGTCACCCACCTAGCGCCTTGTTGGCAAGGAAAATGAGCCCGACACACGTTCCCGGCGGGCTGACCAGAAGCTCTCCAACCCCCCTGCACACGTTCCCCCCTCTCCTAATCTTCCCCCCTCCTCTTCCACCCACCTAGCGCCTTGGTCACCCACCTAGCGCCTAGTTGACAAGGAAAATGAGCCCGGCACACGTTCCCTGTGGACGAACCAGAAGCTCTCCAACCCCCCTGCACACGTTCCCCCCTCTCCTGATCTTCCCCCCTCCTCTTCCACCCACCTAGCGCCTTAGTCACCCACCTAGCGCCTTGGTCACCCACCTAGCGACTTGTTGGCAAGGAAAATGAGCCCGGCACATGTTCCCGGCGGGCGGACCAGGAGCTCTCTAACCCCCCGGCACACGTTCCCCCCTCTCCTGATCTACCCTCCTCCTCTTCCACCCACCTAGCGCCTTGTTTGCAAGGAAGATGAGCCCGGCACACGTTCCCCACACGGGCCGGCCCGAGGCTGCGAAGTCCTGAAGCGCGCCGAGCTGAGAGACAGTAAACAGGGAAGGGGGACGATGGGGAGTCAGTCAGCTAGTCCGGGTGGCCGTGGTGTTGAGCGAGGATGGCCGTGGTGGTGCTCTCGCCGCCGAGGATAATGAGCGGGAGGCGCTAAAAGATAGAGAGGGATAGAGGACTGGAACGGGCTAGAGGAACCAGCGGAAAGGCAGCGTACCAGTCCGCATCGCTGCGCGAGATTCGCCATGGTGGTGCTCTCGCCACCGGGGATAATAAGCGCCTGCACAGACCGCAGCTCGCTGTCCGTGCGCACCTCGATTGCCTCGAACGACGCTGCTTTGATATCCAGCACGCACCTGCGCAGAGCTGAGGGCAGGGAATGGGGAACGGGGGGACGGAGGGAGGGAGGGAGGGAGGGAGGGAGGGCGAAAGGGAGCGGAATGATGAGCGCGTGCACGGATGGCAGCTCCGTGTCCGCGCGGGCCTGGACCGCCTCGAACGGCGCTGCCGTCACGTCCAGCGCACACCTGCGCAGCGCTGAGGGCGGGGAGTGGGGGACGGACGGAGGGAGCGAGGGAGGGGGTGGAATGATGAGCGGCTGCACGGACCGCAGCTCGCTGTCCGTGCGGACCTCGATTGCCTCGAACGACGCTGCTTTCACGTCCAGCGCGCACGTGCGCAGCGCTGAGGGCGGTGAGTGGGGGAGGGAGAGCAGGAGGGAGGGAGGGCGGGCAGGAGATGGAGGGAGGGAGTGAGCTGGTGGCAGAGAGATGGACGATCGGTGTCTCAACTCGATTTGTCTTTTGCTCCACAAAAGAGGGCTCTAAGCTTCTAGTCAGCTAAGCAAGTGCTGATCTGCGATGCGCTCTCTGAAGGAGCCTTGCAGCGCCAGCACCCCCTCTGGGACGAGGGGGGATGTCACACACGCGCCCGGTCCAGATGTGCTCAAGAGGGGCCCACACCGATCACTAATCACTGACCCGCGATGCGCTCTCTGAAGGAGCCTTGCAGCGCCAGCACCCCCACGCGGATCACGGGTAATGCCATGCATGCACCTGGTCAAGGCGGTGGTAGCGGCGAGGCCTGCGCGTCAAGAGCGGCCGAGACTGACCTGCGATGTGCTCTCTGAAGGAGCCTTGCAGCGCCAGCACTCCCACTCGGATTACGGGCCCTGAAGATGGCCCAGAATCCGCTGCCATGGCGATCGGATCAGCGATCGGATCACGGATCGGCGATAGGTTCACGGAACGATGGTGCGATCGGATCTCAGGCGGATTCACGTATCAGCAAACAGAATCTCGGATCGCAACGGAATCTCGGATCGCAACGGAATCTCGGATCGCAACGGGATCTCGGATTAGCGACACGACCTCGGGCTCGACACAGCTACGTTGAGGCCGTCGCCTGCTCGGGTCCTTCCGCTGATTCGTGATCCTTTCGCGACACAGTGCAGTGAAGTCTGTAAGCCTTTTTTTACTGTACTGTGAAGCAAGGTACGCTGGAAAGCAGAGACCCGCAGCGATTGGGAAGGATCAAGAGCACGAGACGACCGAGGGAGCACGACAAGTGACTACGGTAGTGAAAGAGGCAGCCTTCCCGACTCGTCTCGCGCTTCCAGCGTTGCAGGTACTGTAGTGACAAGAGCAGTTCTCTTTCAAGGCCCGCAGAACGAAACAGGGACGATGGAATGCTCGGACTAAAGTGATAAGTCCCACTCACATGTTGCTGCTGATCCTAGCGCGCTCGGTGAGTGAGTGGAAAACTCGCTATTGGTGCGTGCTGGCTGGCTATGTGATGACTGACCGACGAACGGCTTATAGCGTGCCACGGCATTGTACATCAAAAGCCAATGACGATGATCCTCGTTTTACAAAACTCGCTAAAACGTAGGGTGCATGGAACTCATGCTCAATTCTGTGCTCAGATGATCCAGCTATTGATGACTTTGTAATAATTTGATGCTTTAACTCCATGAAAAATGAAGACGTCGTTAGATAGAAGCAACTGTTTTGGCACGTACATACAAGATGATAGGAAATGCATGTACGCGTTAGCGGCTTATACAGAACTAAAAGTACAAATACGGATCTCTCTGGCGCTCCAAAACGGCCACAACTACAACACACCAACCAACTCTCGCACACAATACTGTATCGGCAACCTCGAAGGTTGTTATTCACCCTTGCCAGCTCTCACATCACCACCACTCACTCACTGATTGACTTATCGAGCCGTCTCAGCGTCCTGATCATGGCTTCCCCCATGTAACTGTAAATTCGCTGCGTGTCGCTCTCTTTCCTTCACCCACTTGCGTTTTCTTCGACCTATCACAGGAGCTGGCGACCAGCTCTAACTGTCCGCTTGGACGAGTAGCCGGCTGCAGCCGTGTGATTCTATGAAAGAGAGGCTTGTGATAGAAATGCTTCGTGCTTCTATTGAGAGTAGAAGAACTACAAGGTCGATGGTGCAGTTTCACCGTGTACGCAAATGTACGTGAAGGCTCTGTTTTCGCGACAATCGCAGATGGAGCCTCCTATTGCGGCCCGGCGTCGTACGCGCTACAAGCCGTTTCGTTTCTCGATGCGGAGCTGCAAGGTTCTCATCCTGGCCGTAGGATGGGCTCTTGCCGTGTCTTTATTCTCGACACCTGGAGTTTCCCTCGCCTTGATTGACGGGAATAGTACAACTGGACTCTCACCCCTGACAGCTGATCCCGCTTTATTCGGCGATCAGGTTTCGCCAGGAAGTTTTGTCCTCCCTGGGAACAGCCGAAATGGGTCGTTTGACGTTTCAGCTCCCATGTCGCACATGACCGATGCCAGCCGGCGAAAGCTGCTTTCTGCTAGCGACTGGTTACCAGGAGCATCTCGGCGAAAGCGAGGCACTCATTACGCGTCAGCGGGCGATTTGCGAAAGGCGATCGACAGCAAGCGGCTTGAAGTGGTCGATCTTAACCCTAATCCACCGCCTAGCATTCTTTCGCGAAAAGGCCGGCGAGCGCTTAAAGGTGTGACCAGCCGGCGAAAATTCGCGACATGCGCCAAGGCCCTTCGCTGCCCGGAATTCCGGATGTGCGAAGACGCAGGTTTCGAGGATATTTCCGTCTGTCGAAACCCCGATTACATGGATCTGGCTCCGCGAATTGCGGGGAACGGCACCATAGTTAAGCCTGAAGAAAACGACGAGGACGGGGAGGAAGAAGAGGAGGAAGAGGAGGAGGAGGAGGAGGAGGAAGAGGGAGAAGATGGAGAGGGAGAGGAGGGGGAGGAAGGGGGAGGCAAGGACGGAGGAAAGGAGGGGCCGACGTTTGTGTGGTCTGGGCGCGTGTTTGCGCTGCACGACGTGTACGTGAACAACAAGGGCCAGGTGTTCAACGCCACTCATGTCTTCAACGCCAATGGCTGCTACGCCGAAGACAAGGTGCGTACGCCTACGAGTGAGGGAGGGAGGAGGGGGGTGGGGGAGGGGAGGGGGAGGGGGAAATGGCGGGGGGGTCAGGGAAGGGTAAGAAGGGGAAAGTGTGATTCGATGCGCAAGAAATGGGGAGCAACGAGGAGCACAGTGCAGGGGCAGGGTCTAGGGGTGCGTCACGCATGATGCGCGCCAAAGTCTCTCTTGCCTGTAATGGCACACCATCCCCCTTCCCTCCCTCACGCATTCCTCCTCCCTACTACCAACTACCCCATTTCTACTCCTCCCCCCCCGTTCCCCTCCCTCTCGCCTCCTACTGTAGTTCCACGTCGAGCCCGGCACCCGCGTGTCCTCCTACGTCTCGGTCGTCATTGGAGGCACGCTCTTCCCAATCCCTGCTTCCCTCACCCAACAACCCCCCCTTCCCCTCTTCCCCCCATCCCCTCTCCCTCTCCCTCTCCCCCTTCCCAAACCCGCCTCCCCCCTCCCCCCCCCCTCTCCCACTCCCCTCCCCCCCAAGCCCGGCACACGCGTGATAGGGGGCACGACCGGCACCCACCCACCCGCCTGCCCTTCCACCAGATCCTCTCCTTCCCCTGCCCCTCCCTCTCTCCCTTCCCCCCCGAGCCTGACACGGGCGTGTCGTCCTGCAACTCCCTCGTGAATCTGCTGGTCATTGGGGGCACGCCTGCCACGCGCCTTCCCTTCCATGAGATCCTCCCCTTTCCTCAAACCCCTCCCCTCTTCTTCGTTCCCCTCCCCCACGTCCGTCCCCCCTCTCCTCCTAGCGTAGTTCCACTACGAGCCCGGCACGCGCGTGTCCTCCTACAACTCGCTGGTCAACCTGCTGGTGATAGGGGGCACGCCCGGCACGCGCCTGCCCTTCCACGAGATCCTCGAGCTCGTGCCGCTCTTCCTGCCGCTGTCCCGCGTGCTAAAAAAGCACGGAAAGCCGGCCCTTGTGATGAGGGGAAAGAAGGTAAGTCATGGGTGCGTAGGTGTGGGGGGAGCAGTGGAAAAGGGGGGGGGGGAGTGGTGGGATCCTCGAGCTCGTGCCGTTCTTCCTGCCACTCTCTCGCATGCTCAAGAAGCACGGGAAGTTGGCTCTGGTGATGCAGGGAAAGAAGGTGCGCGATGGGAGTCTAGTTTTGAGGCGCCTCAAAACTTGATGCAGGGAAAGAAGGTGCGCGATGGGAGTCTAGTTTTGAGGCGCCTCAAAACTTGATGCAGGGAAAGAAGGTGCGCGATGGGTGTGGGGGGGAGGGGGGGGGAGTGGAAAGGAGGGAAGGAGGGAAGGAGGGGGGGTGCGAAGTGGTGGCGTCCTGGAACTCGTGCCACGCTTCCTTCCGCTATTCCGCGTGCTTGCACCGGAAGCCTTTTGAGTCGACTCAGAAGTCACCTCGTTACGATGTCACACGACACGCTTCCTGCCGCTATTGCGCATGCTCGAACGGGTAGCCGGATCCGGTGGAGGGAGGAAGCATATGTGGTGTGCTGGTGGCGTGGGGCGGGGAAGAGAGTGGGGGGGAGGTGCTAGGGAAGCATGTGCGGCGTGCTAGGGAAGCATGTGCGGCGTGCTAGGGCGCCCCTCTCTTCCCCCACCCCCACTTTTGTCCATTTGTGCAAAGAAAATTGCCTCGTCACCACTCACTGTATTTTCTCTGAAATCACGGCATGGCATGGCATGGCATGGCCTATGATGCTGTGGCATGGCATGTGCTGCCTCCATGGCATGGCCTGCAAATGTCTGCAACTTGGCCTGTTTGTGACATGATCTGTGCTACCCCCCCCCAGCTGCCTCGAGTGGTGGGAGTCACCATGGGTCGCATGCTCTCCTTCGGTGATGCCTCTCGCCTCCTCTTCGTCCGCACGCTCATTCAGGTGCGTTCCGATTCTCATCCTTCGAAGTTTGAGGCGCCTCAAAAACCCATCTTTCAAAGTTCCCACTTGGTGACGCCATGCCTGCATTCACAAGCACATGCATTCACAAGCACATGCATTCCCGGGGCCAACTCCTCTCACTTCCTGCAGCCCCGGGGCCAATTCTTGAGGTGTGTTATGCCTTTTCTCCCTACCTTCCGTCCCTCTTTTCTCTCCCCTCCCCCCCCCCCTTCCCCCCCTCCCCCTCCTCCCAGCCCACCTTCCAGCACTGCCAGCACCCCAGCCCCTCCCTCTGGTCCAAGCTGCGCTCCTCTCACTTCCTGCAGCCCCGGGGCCTGCCCCTGCTCAAGCCCGACTGGTCCGAGCGCCTCCCCCCCACACTCCCCAAAAACCGCCCCGCCCCCGCCGCCCTCCCCCCCTGGGAAGAGAGCGGGGTGAAAGAGGTGATCGTGCTAGAGCCCCCCTCAGGGGTCAAGGTGAAGGGGTTTGCGGGAATTGTGGCGGGATTGAGGGGGAAATTCGGTGGGGAGCATGTGAGGCTGGTGGGGAGGTTTCAGCGGGACGACGCCCGGGACTTGTTTCCTAGAGCCGCACTGCTGGTCAGCGTCACGAGCCCGTTTTTGATCAACCTCGCATTCCTGCCACCCCGCGCCGCCCTGCTGGAGCTCCGCCCGCCGCCCGACCACGTGGACGCGGTCATCGCCGACTCGGTCGCCAGCCTGGCGGCCGTCTGCCAGATCCACCACCGCGTGATCCGAGGAAGCTTCGTGGAAAGCGAAGCTGGGGGGGGAGGAGGAGGGGGCAAGGAGGGTGCGGAAGGAGCAGGAGAGGTGGAGTGGAGGGGTGGGGCAGTGGAAGCAGCGGCTATGTTTCTAGCTAGAGTGGTGGGCAAAGCAGTGACTGCAGATGAGAAGGTGGTTGAAGAGGCAGTGCTGGCTGCAGCAGACAGGCGAATGAAAGCCGCCAAGCTCGCACAGGCTTCCTCCTCCTCTTCCAGCAAGAAGCCGCTCATCCCCGGCACGCAGATCCAATCTCTGCAGTCCGCCGCCCGGTTTCGGCGCTGGCTGCGGTGCGTCAGCCAGCGCGGGCGGTGGGCTTACAATGCCACGCCACGCATCCTCCCTTGGGAGTACCTCGGTACAATGAACCTGTGCGACCATAGGCACCAGGAGACCACCGGGGGGCTGGTGACCAAGAAAGCGGATAAGTATGCGGTGGAGGGCGGTGCGTCGGGCGGGTGGAGCGTGCGTGAGTCGCTCAAATACGAGTGGAGAACGCCGCCCGGGAAGTGCCCGATTGGCCCGTTGAGGTCGTTTGATGGGGAGGCGTTTTGCAGGAAGGCCGAGGGGAGGAAAGGGGGACTGAATCTGCTGTTTCTGGGTGACTCCTTGGCGCACCAGATGGTTGTAAGCTTCCTCAACGGTCTTCTGAGGCACATTCCCAAGCCGGCGGTGTGGGCGGTGAACGAAACGATTCCCCAGGAGTGCTCTGATTGGCTGGTGGAGCCCCCTCGACACGCCTACTGCCGAGTGTACACGTTCAATGCGAGCGTGTGTCCCGGGCTCACTGTTCACTTCGTGAGGAACGACCACTTGTGGTTTACGCCGCCCGGAGAAGCCAAGTTTGATCATATTCCGTGGCATCTTTACTCGGGGTTGAGGAATGCGGATGTGGTGGTGGTGAATCGCGGTGCGCATTTCCTTGGAGGGAAGGATTTTGAGAGGAGTGTGCCACCCGCTTTGGAATTTCTTCGAAAGAAGCTGCCCGATTCGCTGATTATCTGGAGGAATACTCCCCCCGGGCATGCCAACTGCACGTCCTATATCGGGCCAATCAAGAAGCGGCAAAATCCGGAAATTCTGCCGTTCCATTGGGACATGTTTGCAAGGCAAAACAAGATGGTTCGGGGGATGATGCACGATGTGGGAGCAGTGTACATGGATGTGGATACTGCCACGGCGTTGAGGCCCGATTCGCACAAAGGATATGTGGAAGAAAGGGGGGTCCTAGACTGTCTGCATTACTGCACGCCTGGTCCCACGGATATGTGGGTGGAGCTGTTAGCTGATATAATATTGCGTGGTGTGTATCGGGATGGGCTATTGTAAGTGGGTGTGTATATTAGTTGTACTGCTGCGAGCTGCCTATTAAGGTTGCGTAGTTACCAGCTTCAGTGACGCTGTTACGAATGGGACTTCCGAGTAGCGCGGAGGGCAATGGCGAAACTGTGAACGATTGAATGACAATATATAGAAAGCTTAGGGTGATCCTGGACGTAGGCTCGGACGGTTCGGGAAAAGTGTCGAAGGGCCTCGATGTGTAGAAGCGAGGTCCGGAAAGGCCCAGGAGGCTTGAACTGAAAGGTATGGAACCCTGGCAATGGTTCGGGACTGTTCCAGTCGTACGCTCTGTAGCAAGCCTCAGTAAGGAATTACTCATTCCTTACAGACGTCATCTGCTTTCAAGGCGTCGTGGCAGCTTCGGGGGGCTTGCACTGTAGATGCTTAGCACATCTCTGCCGTGGACGTTTGTGATTGTGTCGGTGAAATCCGTCCACGCTCTGCCAGCCGCCTCATGGCTGCATACAGTACATACCTGCTGCACGGGCAGCTTCAGCTGACCGACCTTTTGCTACGGCCAACCGAGGGCCTGCTTCTCCCCCAGAAATGCCTTGCGGGCAACACTCGCTGGTCCGCGCTGAATTTGACGATCAGGATTTCCTCAAATTTCGATTAGAGGAGCTGGTGGTAGACAGGCAGTCAGGCAGTCCTTCACTGGCGGGTTGTGGCCGGGGTCGGTGGTTATTGGTTGGTCGAGGTGGAGCTGAGAAAAGGTGGATGGGTGGTTGGCTGGGCGGATGGGATCGAATCGGACGGTTGATCGGGCCTCGAAGTCATCTCGCATCGGATCGAACGGTTCAATAGGGCCTTGGTGGTCTCACCTGCTTCTCACAACTACCTTCTCCGGAAATACCTCCGAAATGCAAACCCTGCTTTTCACCCTCCATGCCCAATCCCACGCCCTTTTCTCCCCCATATATTTCTGTTGCATTTTCCGTTTGCCTGCTGCTCTCTTTTTGTCTCTCGCTCATGTTTGTCGGTTGGTTGGTTCGAGCTGTCGGAAGCATCGAGTACGAAGTCATCTACACTAATCTGGCGGTTACTATTGCGGGTTAATTAGGAGACACTCGTTCGCTATTTGACGTTTTGTCAGGACTCGCCAAGTCGCGGTAGAATATTCTCTCAGTTACAGGAAATCCCTTTGTCACAGCCGCTCGCTACTGGGTTTTTTTTTTTTAGTTCCAGGTTCGACGTCGCGGCGCGGCGTCTCGTTCATGAGTAGTCCCCATGGAGCAAGACGCGAATCTTAGCGCATATCACGGAGGGTCGGACATGGAATTCGACGTGTCGGCGAGAAACCTCGACGCAGATCCATGGGGTATCGGCGAGTTCCAGGTTTCATCTATTGAGGGGGCGTACGATGCACTGTTACGAGACTTCGCGACACCTGACAGTTGTAACGCCGCGGCGGCGCCTGCTATCGGCGGCACGGCACCTGCTGCGTCGGCAGCTGCTTATCCAGGCTCGTTTAATAATGACGGGCCTCCAGCGGTTGACGACGCGTGGAGGAACGAGCAGGCGTGCTTCGAAGATCCTCACATGCGTCCTGGATGGAAGAATGAGCAGAAAAATACAGATTTCGTGACGTCGGGAGGAATACAGAGGCCGGGACTTCTGCAGCAGCAGCAGCAGCAGCAGCAGCAGCAGCAGGGTCAAGAGAAGGGACACGAGCAGCAGGGATTGCAGTGGGGAGGGTACACTTCAGATGCTAATGATGGTGGTCCTGTGAAGCCCACTTCTAACCTGCAACACTCATACCTCAATGGCTTTCGCTTGGACGCTCAAAATGCAAGTTTTCACGAGCAGCAGCATCCTCGTGATCAGCAATACCAGGGCCAATGTTTGAGCCAGCCCCAACACCAGAAGCAGGAGACGCAGCAGCAGCAGCAGCAGCAGCAGCAGCAGCAGCAGCAGCAGCAGCAGCAGCAGCAGCAGCATGAGTGGCAAGATGAACCGCAGCAGCAGCAGGGACGGCAGCAGCAGCAGATGCAGGAACAGATAAAACAACAGGGGAGGCAGGAGCCGCAGTGGGTGGAAGATCATTTGGTGCGGGACGACATGATGATGCAAGCCGCAGTGGGTAGTAAGCGACAGAGGGAGGGGGGACAGCGGGACGACAGAGGCCTAGGGCTTCTCGCCTTGCAAGGAGCGCTTGTGAGCAGAAGCAGCAGCGATGGTGGGATGAGGAGAGTCGGACACCAGCACCACCAGCAGCAGCAGCAGCACCAACAGCAGCAGCAGCACCAACGGCACTCCCTCTCGGCGCACCGCCGTCAGCAGTCCTTCCCCCTGCCGTCCCGTGCCAGCGTGGAAACCGAGAGCGCCACGTCATCATGGACGTCATCGGGTGCCGTCAGCGAAGGGCGGAGAGTGGGGCAGCGCAGGGGCCGCCCAGGAATGCTGCTTGAGGACAGCTCGATCGCCGCGAGCCAGCCAGGAGCCATGGGCGGTCGCAACGTGGGCGGTGGCAGCATGGGTGGTGGCAGTATGGTGGCATGTGACAGCGACGCTGGGAGATCAAGTCCCATGGGGTGTGGTCATGATGAGGGGGGGGCGCATGGGGACGCCAGGCGCATGGTACCGCCGCAGACACATGGATTGAGCCATCATGTGGGCTCTCAGCCGGGTGCGATGGGGTATGATGTGGAGTTGGAAAGAGCAGGCATGGCGCATGTGGAAGGGCAGAGCCAGCAGGAGCAGCAGCAGCAGCAGCAGCAGCAGCAGCAGCAACAGCAGCACCAGCGGCATCATCATCATCATCATCAGCACCATGGGGCCATGCATCTTGGCATGCCTCCCCATGGCGCACCGCATGCAGGCATCACCGCCAGCGCACCAAGTACTGGTATTCACCTGCTGCAGCAGCAGCAGCACCGTAGCTCACACATGTCCCCGTCCCCTTCCATCTCTCACTCCCACTCTCACTCCTCCCCTGCCGCCCTGCCTCTCCGTTCCACCCACTCCCCCTCCCCATTCCCCCTGATGCCCCAACCTTCCGCCACCGCCGCCTCCTCTCTCCCCCCCTTCCCAACTCACCTCCACCCTGCACACGCGGCCCTCTTTTCTACCACACCTGCCACAGTCACAGCTGCTGGAAACCATCTCCCTGCCCCTCTTGCTGCCCCATCCCTCTCCCCTTCCGCCACTGCTACAGCTCCCGCTACCCCCCCAATGCCCCCCTCCTTCCCTCCCGCTCACGAAACCCCCTCCGCCGCCCCCCCCATCTCCCCCTCCGCTCTCCTGGGCGCGCTCTCCTCCCTCCAGTCGAAAATATCCGCGTTACAAGTGCTGGTCCCGTTAGTAGCGCAATCCGCGCCGTCGCGTGCGCTGCAGGAACAGCAGGAGGTGGCGGCGGTGGGAGTGGCGACAGTGATTCAGCAGGTGGCGGCCGCGGCTGTGGGGCTGCTGCCACCGCACCTGCAGCAGCAGCTGGTGGTGCCGGATATTGCAGGGGTTGTGAATGGGGGGAGTGGGGGGGTTGGGGCACCCCAGAACCCGTACCAGCAGCAACACCTGCAGCTGCAGCAACAACAACACCTGCTGCCGCCACACCAGCAGCAGCAGCAGCAGCAGCAGCAGCAGCAGCAGCAGCTGGTGGTGCCGGATATCGCAGGGGTTGTGAATGGAGGAAGGGGGCTTCTTGAGGCGGCCCAAAGCTCGCAGCAGCAGCAGAAGCAGCAGCACCTGCTGCCACCGAACCTGCAACAGCAGCAACGCCAGCAACAGCAGCAGCAGCAGCAGCAGCAGCAACACCAGCAGGGGAGAGTAGGGGTTGAGTTGGTGGGCGGAGACGGCATGTTGAACGGAAGTGAGAGAATGGAGATGGGGGGGGGAGAGAGCGGGCAGGCAAATGGCCAGTTTGGGGAGCAACAACTGCAGCAGCACCAGCAGCACCAGCAACAACAACAGCAGCAGCAGCAATTTCAGCATCATAATCAGCATCAGTATCAGCAGCAGCAGCAGCAGCAGCAGCAGCAGCAGCAGCAGCAGCAGCAGCAGCAGCAGCAGCAGCAGCAACAGGAGCAACAACTGGAGGGCAACCTAGAAGAAACCGATCAGGAGGAGCAGCAGCAGCAGCAGCAACAGCATCTGCAGCCACAGATTGAGTTGCTTCGAAGGCTCCTGGAATCTCGCAGCCAGCAGCAGCAGGCAGGCCAGCTGCCAGCAGCAGAGGGCGGGATGGAGACTACAGGCCCTCACGTGGGCAGCGGCAACTTGCCCGAGAGCCCAGGGGGTCAGGGTGGTGGTGATGGCGATGGTGATGGTTGTTGTGGTGCTGATGTTGGTGGTGGTGATGGTGGTGGTGATGGTGGTGGTAGCTTGATGCGTGCTCCTGTGAAGGAGGAAGTGCAGGCTGCAGACGACATCAGCACGGGTGGAGACACCAAAGTCGCGCCCATGCCATTGCATGCTGGTGGCTTTGCCATGGCATCTCGTGGTAACGCCATGGCGGCATGTGACGACGCCATGCCCCCCAGTGTGAGTATGGCTACTGCCAGCATCAGCCAGGGCGGCAGCAGTGGCATGGGCGGCAGCATTCTGGGCGGCAGTGGAATGGACGGCAGTGTTTTGGGCGGCAGCAGTGGCATGGGACTGAGCAGAAGCAGGGTGCGAGGGGGCAAAGGAGGGGGTAGGGGAGGGGGCAGGGGGGCGGGTGGCGGAAGAGGAGGCAGGGGGAGGCTAGGAGGGGGATGGGTGGCAGAAGGGCGCGGAAGAAAAGGGGGAGGGTGTGGGGGACAGGTGGGGAGAGGGGCGGGCTTCCCATTTGAAGTTAAGAGTGAGAGCCAAATGCGAAACGGGAGCGAGGAGGAGGACGAGGAAGAAGAGGAAGGGGAGGGAGAGGAGGAGGAAGAGGAGGATGAGGAGGGGGGAAGCAGCAAGGGAGGAGCGGCGGAGCGAAGAAGAGGCAGTGAGGGGGTGACACGTGGCGGGTTTGAATTGGTGGAGCTGCAGGTGGAGGAGCTCATGGCGGAGCACACGCTGTTCTGCGAGGTCAGATATGTTTTGAGGCATGGCTCCTTCTGTACCTAGTGCCACGTGCCACTTTCCGTGTACCGTGTACCACGTGCGCTCCAGGTGGAGGAGCTCATGGCGGAGCACACCCTCTTCTGTGAGGTGCGCTTTGGTTCTTGCATTGGATTACAAGTCTGGTTTTGAGTCGACTCAAAATCTCAAAATACAATTTGAGTCGCCTCAAAATACACCTGGTTGTAGTATCATGTGCAGAGCGAATTTTGAGCGGACTCAGGAGTGAGCATTGGATTACAAGTGTGGTAGTATTGTACACATGTGCCTTTTGTGTCTGCAAAGTGCGCCTCTTTCGGGTCTGTATGCTGGCAGCAGTTCCGCACGTGGCCTCTAATCCCTCCTCTCCCCCCCGCCCCCCCTCCTCCCCCTCCTTCCCCCCTCCTCCTCCTCCCATCAGGTGTGCGGCAAGGGCTTCAAGCGCGACGCCAACCTGCGCATGCACATGCGCGGCCACGGCGACGCCTACAAGGCCGCCACCTCCCTCTCCCGCCCCGCACTCTCCGCCGCCCGCTCTGCCGCCCGCTCCGCCGCCCGGCCCCAGCGCTACAGCTGCCCGGAATTCGGGTGCAAGCGCAACCAGCAGCACCCGGACTTCCAGCCCTTAAAAACCGTGCTCTGTGTGAAGAACCACTACCGGCGCACGCACTGCGCCAAGCAATACACGTGCAGCCGTTGCGGCGTGAAGCAGTTTGCCGTGCTGGCCGATCTGCGCACACACGAGAAGCACTGCGGCCGCTCGTCCTGGAAGTGCTCCTGTGGGTCGTCCTTTAGGTAAGCCGCAGGGTTTATAGTGTTTTATCACAAAAAAGTGGTAGACGCAGCGTGTAGAAGTTTGCCACGACGAGCGCTCCTGTGGGTCGTCCTTCAGGTGGGTTGGCGGTGTTTTGGGGGAAGAAGGGCTGTGGGGTCTGCTTCACATGCCAGCCCTTGCTTCAGGGTGTTGCAAGTGTTCTTTAGAGTCTTGATCTGCACATGCATGAGAATCACTGCGGGTGGTCGTCCTAGAGATTTCTCATGCACTGCTGCTTCATACTGATTTTTGAGTCGACTAAAAATTCATCTCATACTCCCCAAGCCACCATCTGCAGGACCTTCCCCACTGTCTCGTCTCCCCCGCTTCCCCAACAACCAACAACCTTACCCCCCCACTCCCCTCCCCTCGCTTTCCCTCTTCTCCTTCATCCCGCTCCCCCCCCCCACACACAGTCGCGAGGACAAGCTTCTGGGGCATCTCTCCCACTTCACCGGCCACCATGCCGTAGCTGCCGGCCCCCTCATATCACTCGCTTCCCTCTCTCCCTTCTGCTGCTACCCACCCCGTTTCCCTTCCCTCCACCGTGCAGCCGCAAGGACAAGCTCCTGGGGCATCTCTCCCACTTCACAGGCCACCATGCCATTGCTGCCGGCCCCTCTGACCTCCCCCTGCCCGCCCTCCCTTCTGCTACTGGTGCTGCTGCTGCTGCTGCTGCTGCTGTTGACGCTGCCATGGCTGCCGCTTCTGCTGCTGTTTCCAGTGCTGCAGTTGCTGATCCTGCCACGGCTGATGCAGCTGGTAGCGGCGGTGACGGCAGCAGTGGCTATGGCAGTCCTGCCTTTGGCATTTCCTATGGGAACACAGCTGTGTCGTCAGCCCTTGTATCTGCTGCAATAACCGGAGGTGCAATGACAGGTGTGCATGCCAGTACTAGAAGTACCACAGCAGCAATCAACATGGCTGCGGGCAGTTCGCCTGCTGCTGCTCCCTCTGCCTTCACCACCGCCCCCTCAGCTCTCACATCGGCTATAGATGGGGGATTCTCCTAGTGTAGTTGGGTTAGGATTTTTTCTGGGTATTGAGCAGTGCAATAACAACCCTAACCCCTAGCTGACATGCCGTCCACCCGGCACGACCCCGTCATGTCGTTTTGTTTGGGTGTGCATTGCACCAATAAGAGTGTTCTGTAAAGTTGAAATTTTGCAGTTTATCATGCTTATTCAAATTTCTAACTTCACCGAATTGAACCACCAGGCATTCTAGCTGGTCTATAATTGTTGGAGGTGTAGATGTTTTTATTGGAGCAGCCGGACGGAAATGACTCTCTGGATCTGAAAGGGAGTTGCAGGTGCCATGCAAGTCCTCAGGTGCATTCAACAATCAGACTGAATCAGGTGAGGACTCGGCATGCACACAATTCTTGAGACTATCCCTGAGAACCACGTCACTCAACCAATGAGCATCAGCAATGCTTTGCGAGCCTTTTGTTAGTGATGATTTCGTCTACGTCGTGTCTCGGACTTCGCATTTTTCGCAAAGCTCGCTGACTAGCAGAGCCCAGACAGTTGCGTTATTGCTTTGCTTCTCGCTGAGCCTTGTCCGTTACGTTCTGTTCAGCACCTGAGAACCACCTGTAACAGCAGCGACTCGTCCTCGTTCTTGCTGCAGTCTCGTCGTACATGCCTCGTCCCACATTTTGGCGACAAGTCTCCTTCTGCGACGCTGTGCACAGCCTGTCGCTTGACCAAACAGCCAGAGGCCAGCCCAGCAGTGCGATCAGCTTACTGCAAACAGCTGTCGTATGCTCACCCTCCCCACCCAGGCCCTACGACGACGAACGTCGCAGGCGCTCAACTACCACCTCCTCCCCAACTTTGTTTACATTTTCCGTTTCAAACGACCTCTTGCTTTCTCCTTGTTCTTTCCCGTACAGGATCTCCGTCTCCCAATCTGTTTCATACTCAAAGGAATTTCCAGCTAGTGTTTGTAATCGTCATTCCTAGTTTCAAGATCTCTTCTTAGCTTGAACTCCCAGCCATGGCTCGTTATGCTGTTTTCGCCTTCGCCCTTCTCGCTCTCTTCGCCGTGTGCCACGCGCGGCCCGCGCCACTCGACGACGATATCACGGACAACAATGTTGTTCCAGACCTCAAGGGCCTCTCCCGGGAGAAAATCCAGGAGCTCGCGCTGACCGATCTGGCGGCATGGGACGAGGAGGACAACGGCGTGACCGCCGCTGAGGCCGATAAGATCGTTATTGATGAGGATAACACCGTGGCTACCGTTGAGGATGCTGCTGACGACTCCGACAATACCGTGGCTGCCTCTAGCGAGGATGTCGCCGATTCGGATAACTCCGTCGTTGCGTCGTCTGCCGAGGCTGTTGATGACGACAACACCGTGGCTGTTGCCGAGCCTGCTGACTCGGACAACACCGTGGCTGTGGTTGCTGCCGAGCCCGAGGATGACGTGGTTGCCGTGATGCCCGAGGACAACGTCGCCACCGCCTCCGCCGTCAACGCGCAGCCGATCGACATGGCCATCGCCATGGTTGTGTAAAGGATACTTAGCTTGATTTTTTTAATGCTTGTACGAAACGTTCCTTTATTGTACTGTATTGAGAAATAGAATACGAGGTTATCCCTCCAACTTCCGATCGTCTATTGTTTCCTGTCGTGACGAACTAAACCATGCAATGCTTATTGTGTGCTGCGCCTGAGCACCTTTCACTACCTGACCTCGTGAACCAATGAGCGGTGTTGAGGTGAGGGTCCGTCCGACGTAACACCAGCTGGCGACAAAGAAAGGCTGCTGAACTCGAGTTTCATCTCTACCTCTCGGCAGCATTAAGCTCCAGCTTCCTGTGTCTCTACACTGCAGCACCGTATCATGTTATTCGTCCTGCACTTGGAGCCAAGGTGGTGAATGAGATGAATCATGAATCATCGAGGATTGACCGTCAATGAGAAGTACAGTGTCGCTCTTTACGTTAGATTTGACAAAATTATGCTGCAGCAACTTCTCGTCACATCATGGGGTGTCAGGTTTTGATTTACTGTTTATACCGCGATCGTATAACTAGGTCAGCCACCACAGTGCACAGAGCTAGAGGGAAAGTCACAAAAATATCTAGCTATCTACATAAAGTGGAGCCAAATAGAGAGCTAACGAAAATGCATGACAGTAGAGTTGAGACTAGCATAATAACATGAGCATTACTAGAGGTCATGTGGAGCAGGGATCTGGCTTTTATAGTCGAGACAGCTGTGCCTGAAGCTGAAGCAGCTCTAACTAGAACGCAGAAAGTCCCAGGGCATACTGAGAACAAAGAAACCGCACACAGCAAGGTGACATCCCGACCAGGTATATCCAACTTCCATGCAGCATGGGGAGATGTGGTTGCAGCAGCCTTCAGCCAGACCGCGCTGCACTCACGCAAGGTGCATCAGCAGCTGGAGCGCCTGCAAACAGAGAAGACGTGATGTGAGACACAAGGGGGTCAGCAAGGGGGGGTGTCAGCGAGGGGGGTTATGGAATCTTGACATGCAATGAGATGTGAGCCTGACCATGGAGCATTGCATCAACTTCGTACCTTTGCACGGCCTCGCTCCGTCCCAACCCTTGCCACGGCCAACAGCTGCTTCCCCACCTTCCTCTCTTTGATCGCCTTCCTATGCCCTGACCCATCATTATCCCACAGCACCGCTAATATAGCCGTCGCCTCCTCCTTGCCCTTGTCCGAACCTCGCTCCAGCGCCCGTGCCAGCGCGCCCACCCCCTCTGCTTGCACCACCGCCTCCCTCCCCTCCGGCCTCGTTACAAGCTGCCTCATTGTAGCGAGGGCCTTGTCTGCCAGGCGATGCCCCGGAGCGCGCATTATAACGTGGATTAATGCGCGGTGGGTGCCGGAGAGGAGGAGAGTTGATTTGTTAGACGCGAGGTGGGAGAGGTTGAGGAGGGTGAGGAGTGCATCTTCTTTGGCTCGGTCTGAGTTTGCCGGACAGGCTGAGGGCTGCCGCTGCGGCTTTTCATCTAGTAGGATGGAGACGAGAAGCGGGATTGCGCCAGCTGCGCCGATGTCGAGCCGGGCGGCGTCGCTTGAGGAAAGGACAAAGAGGGCTGCGATTGCGGCGTCCCGGGTGGCGGTGGGGGCAGCACGGAGGATGTGGACAAGGACTGGGGCGGCGCCAAGATCGGTGATTAGCTCGCAGTTGATGGGGTCTAAAGCGAGGTTGACTAAAGCGAATGTGGCTGTTTCCACCAGCACCCAATTGGCATTAGGACAGGGAGGAGGGGGGGTGGGGGTGGGGGGAGCTGGAAGGGAGGGGTTATGCGAGGAGTGGGAGCGAGAAAGGGAGTGAGAGAGTGAGTGAGAGGGGGTGGAGAAGGAACGAGGGGTCTGCTGGTGGTGGAGAGGGGGAAAGCCATGGTGGGCAGCAGCAGGGGAAACGCCCCGGAAGGACCCTGCGCGGTCTGCGAAGGGAGTGGAGGAAGGGTTGGTCGAGCCGGCAGAGGAGGAGTAGCGGATGGGTGGGTGGGCAGGGGAGGCAGCCACCCAGGGGTGAGCTGTCAGGGAGATGTTTGACGCAAAAGGAGAAGGCGGAGGGTAAGGATAGCTGGCAGCAGGAGACGCATAGAGGGGAATACCAGCTGCAGCATCACCATTAGCAGCACCAGCAGGAGCAGCAGCACCTTCCGTCCCTGCTCCCCCCCCCTGCCCCTCCAGCTTCTCCTGACTCTGCCTCACCACTGCCTCAACCCCAACCGGCAGCCCGGCAGCCGCAGCCATGCAGTCCAGCAGCGGCCTCAGCGCCCCCGCATGCCTCAGGTGCTCCCGCACGTCCTCGTCCGTGCGAGCCACCTCCCGAATGCGGCTTGCCGCGTGCAGCCGCGCAGGCTCGGAGCCCTGCAGCATCCGAACCAGCTCGGCAGGCTCGGCAGGGTGGAGGAAGATGGAGGGGAGGGGGTTCTTTGGGGGGGGAGGGGGGAGGGGGGAGGAGCGTCGGGGTTCCTTGAGCTTGTCTCCGTGATTATCTCCTCTCTCCTTGTCTCTCTCCGACTCCCTGTCTCTTCCCCTGGAGCGTGCTCGCCCTCTTTCATCAAACACTGATGGGATTGCGCTCGGTTGCTCCTGCACCTGCCACTCCTTTGCTCTATCGCCCTTCCCCTCCCGCTTCTCCTGCTCCTGCTTCTTGCTCTGGCTCTCGCTCTTCTTGCTCGTTTGATACTCATTCCGTTCCTCCAGAAGCCACCACAACGCACTCTTGTGCTGCTCTTCTCCCTTCTGCTTCGGCTGCTCCTTCTGCTGATGCTTCGGCTGCTGCTTCGGCTGCTGCTTCGGCTGCTGCTTCAGCTGCTGCTTCTGCTGCGGCTTTGGCTGCTGCTTCTGCTGCTGCTGCTTTTGCTGCTGCTGCTTCTGCTGCTGCTCTGAAGCATGCTGGTGGTGCTTCGGCAGGTGGTCTGGCGTCAGGTTCTCTCGCTGCTTATCCAACTCCTCATGCTGCTGCGGCTGCTGCTGCTGTTGCAGCGGCTGTTGCTGCAACTGCGGCTGCTGTTGCTGCTGCTGCTCCAGCCAGTGCTGCACCTTCCGCTCTGATTCAAACGCCTGAGACTCCATCTCTTCCTCTCCCATAACGTCCTCCTCTCCCTCCCCCACGCCTGTCCCCACTCCCATCCCCACCCCCTCCTCGTCCTCCACCTCCTCCACTTCTACCAATTCCACCACTCCCACCACCTCTTTCACCACTTCTGACTGCTTCTCTGCCTTTTTCTCCTCAGGCGTTTCCTCAGGTGCTTTAGCAGGTGGAACTTCATGTGTTTTCGCAGGTGTTTTCTTCAATGCAGGGCCTTCTCCCTCCTTTGCAACCTCCTCCCCAACCTCCCTTGCAGTCTTCGGCAGCACCGCAACCGCTTCACCCCCCACTACTCCACTCTCCCCCTCATGCTCCCCACACTTCTTTCCCTCCTCCGCACTCCCCTCTTTCCCCTTCTCCTCTTCCCCCTTCCTTATCTCGCTCCCTTCGTGCTCCTTAGCCCCTGCAAAGCACCCTGCCAGCTCTCCAAGGCACCCACCGGCACCAGCACCAGCGGCATCGGCACCAGCAGCAGCACCAGCAGCGGCACCAGCAGCAGCAGCAGCAGCACCTCCCGCCTTCCCAGCCTGTTCCCTCTTTCGCCTGGCCGCGGCTGCAGCGGCGGCGGCTCGGCGCGCAGGCCCGAATGAAGCTCCGGAAGGGGTGATTGGGGATGGAGGTCCAGGAGCAGGTGCGGAGGTAGGTATGGAAACAGGGTTGGGAGCAGGTTTGACAGTAGGTTTGGCAGAAGGCGCAGATGGAACAGGGGTGGCAATAGCTTCTGGTGCTACTGATTCCGAGTTTGCTGCTGCTGGTGCTGCAGATGCTATTTCAGATGCTGTTTCAGGTGCTGTTTCAGGTGCCGTGACAACTGCTGTAACAGGCCCAGTTCCAGGCGCAGTTACAGTTGCTTTTAATGGTGCGGTCACCGAGGATAATTCTTTTGACTCTGCAGGGCCCGCAGCACCAACACCAGCAGCAGCAGCACCAACCTCACCCTCAGCAGCAGCAGGAGTAGTCTGGGCAGCCATTGCCTTGGCAGCAGCCGCCACGGCTCTCCTGGCCGGGCCAGAAAGGTAGATGTCTCTGGAGGAGCGAGAGGCGGAGAGAGAGGCGGAGGCGATCGAGGACGAGGGGGTGATAGGCGCAGCAGCAGCAGCAGCAGCTTCGGCAGCAGCATCGGCAGCATCGGCATCCTGTGATGGAAGGGTAACAGACAGTGCTGCAGGAGGGAGGACCGATGAGGGGCTGCTACCAGTGCTCTTAGCTGTGCCCTTCCCACCCTCCATGTCGTCAGCAACTTCAGGTGCCTGGTCAGGTGGAAGTTCAGGTACCTCGGCAACAGTTGGGAGAGCACCCTGGCCCAAGCTGGAGCTGATTCCCGAACCTGCTTCCGAACCAGCAACCACAGCAGGTTCGGCAGGGAGAGGCGCTGCAGGTTCGGCAAAAGGAATGCCCAAGCACTCCTCCCTCATGGTCTTAACCACCGATAGGGCAGCTGCTAGCAGAGCAGGGTTCTTGAACCGAACCATTGCTGCTGGTGCTATCGGAGCATACTCAAACGAGGATGATGCCACAGAGTTAGGCACGGAAGCGTCCGAACCTGTGTCCGTTGCCGTACCTGTCGCCGAAGCTTCAGTGTCAGTGCCTGAAGCTTTGTCACTGTTGCTATTAGCACTGTGGTAACCAGAGGTGCCAGCACTGCTAATGCTGCCGTTGAGACTCCCGTTATAAGCACCACCTCTTCTTCTCCCCACTCTCCCCCTAGTTGTTCTGTTGCTCTGCCTCCGGCTGCTGCTGCGCCTGCTGCTGCTGGAGCCACTTCCGTTACTGTCACACTCCTCCTTGATCTCTTCCAGGGCCTCGATTTCCTCGCTAAAGTCCTCCTCCGTTATAAGATCAAGCTGCCCGGCCAGCATCAGCAAGCTACGGCGCTTATCCGGACCAATGGAGACAATGCTCGTAGCAACACTCCCCCCTTTACAAGCACCAGAGCACCTACTGTTATTACCGCTCCTGCTGCTGCCGCTAGCAGAAGCGCCGCAGGAGCAAGAGTGAGGGGAGATAAAGGAGGCGATGGTTTCGCGGCAGCGGATGGAGGACGGCTCCACGGGGTACTGTGCGCGGGAGAGCTTCGAGAGGATGTGCGGCACCTGGGGGGAAGGGGAAGAGGAAGGGGGAAGGGGAAGGGAAAGGGGAAGGGGAAGGGGGAAGGGGAAGGGGAAGGGGGAAGGGGAAGGGGGAAAGGGAAGGGGATGAATGCTTTTGGAGAAGAAAGAGGCGATGGCGTCACGGCAATGCGCGAGAGAGCTTTGAGGGGATGTGCGGCACCTGAAGGGATGTGCGGCACCTGAAGGGATGTGTGGCACCTGAAGGGATGTGCGGCACCTGAAGGGATGTGCGGCACCTGAAGGGATGTGCGGCACCTGAAGGGATGTGCGGCACCTGAAGGGATGTGCGGCACCTGAAGGGATGTGCGGCACCTGAAGGGATGTGCGGCACCTGAAGGGATGTGCGGCACCTGAAGGGATGTGCGGCACCTGAAGGGATGTGCGGCACCTGAAGGGATGTGCGGCACCTGAAGGGATGTGCGGCACCTGAATGGATGTGCGGCACCTGAAGGGATGTGCGGCACCTGAAGGGATGTGCGGCACCTGAAGGGATGTGCGGCACCTGAAGGGATGTGCGGCACCTGAAGGGATGTGCGGCACCTGAAGGGGGAAACAAGGTGCCTCTTCCTTGTACAAGGGTTTTTTTTTGGGACAAGGAAGAGGCTTTAGCGGCACAGCACCGGAGGGCAAAGGGATCGGCGCGCTGTTGCGCGCATGACGATTTGGACGGACCGGCGAACGTTGAGAGTCTTGCCCCATCCCCTACCCGTAACCCACTTGCGTCTAGCGGTGGGGCGCGTCGAACTAGACTCCTACCATGCGCGCATGACGACTGGGACCGAAATTTGAGAATCTTGCCCCGCTTGGGAATCTCGTCCCCTACCCATAACGCACTTCAGCGGCGCCTACAAAATATTGCGCGTCAACTCCCCCTAAGCTGGTGAAAGCGCGGCCCCCCTCCCTCGCCCCTACCTGGAACTGCCACCCCGTCGCCTGGCCGTGCGACAGCCCGTGCCAGTGCGGCTGCTGCACGGGCGACGGCTCGACGACGGAGTGAGCTTCGCGAAGGCATTCGCCCAGTCGCACGGTCAGCACCTGAAACTTCTGCGCTGCCCACTCCGAGCTGATTGCCTGAGTAGGGGCGACGGGGGAGGAGGGGTGGGGAAGGAAGGAGAGCGGTTATACGAGCATTGGGTGCAAGTTGAGTGCAAGGCTTGCTCCGAGCAACGCTGGAATTGGCGTTGAGAGGAACGATGAGGCATAGTGAAGCAGCTTCCGAAGGTGACTAGGGAGTCAAGGAAGACTCAACACGTAGCTGGGGCGCACGCGACTGGGGTCTACAGCACGTAGGGTGTAAGCGACTGTCGCCGAAAAGAGTAGTATTATAAAAACGCGTGTATTTTTTAACTGCCCGCCCGAACTCACAATGTACGCCTTGCTGCGCGCCAATGAGCACCAGTACAGCAACCCGGAAGCTTCCTCCAGAACCACCCGCAGCTCGTCAAGCGCCGACTGCAGCAGGATGTTTCCGCGAAGCTGCTGCCGCTGCGCGCTCCACGCGTCCACTAGCGGCTCGAGGTCCTCCAAGAGGGACAGCAGTAGCGCACAGTGGCTCCGGAGAGCCGAGGCGCACTCCGGCGGCGTCGCGTTGTCCTCGTCGAGAATGGACGTCAGCAGGAAGGCCAGGCGGTCCGTCAGACCGGAGAAGTCCATTCGAACGGTCATGGTCGAATGATTTACAATCGCCCGTTGACGGTACTAGACCTAACGGCGTGGGAGCGGACGGCAGAGAAGTAACGGCACTGACGCTGACTCGATCGAAAAGCGAGACTTAGGCTACAAACTGCAGGTAGGGAAAACAATGCTGACGGCAATTTGATGCATGCACCCGTGGCGCTAACTTGACGCCATAGCACGGACTAACCTCTGCTGAATATTTCTCTTCTGCAAGTAGTAGAGAACCAAGGGTGTATTGCAGGCTAGCATATCTCTCGTACTGTCGTGGTGTTTGCTTGAAACTGGTCGCCTGTTCTCCAGCCTTTCTGCTCTTTGTTACCTCCCTCCTAGCACAAAGCAGAAAAAGTTTGATGGGACAGGTGGGAAGGTGATGTACGATTTCGGAGTACTCAAAGCGTTACAACGCGTTACAGAACGGCGAGCAAAACAGACAACGGGACGAGAGGGGCTTTCTCGATTGCAGCCTGCCTGCACCCACCCTCGTCCATGCATGTGCGATTCCTTTCATTCACATCCCTTCAATCATCACAACATTTCGCAGACGCCGAGCCGCGGATGCAAAATCAAGGGCGCGGCGCCTATGGCTGTAGCCGAGCCTGCCGGTGCGGCTGACAATAAGGAGAGTGTCTGGGCTCGGACGAGCTTATCCACGCTTGGCTTGGTGAAAGTGGTGGTTTGGGGACTTTCCGAGCCTATGAGGAAGCCTCTCCAAGGCCTTCTAACGTGGTAAATCACCGTGACGCGCAAGATCTTATGAAAAGGGTGAACAGGTGCGCCTTGCCGAATACTGGGCCTGTGATAGAACTTCCGAGCGAGTTTCAGAGGTCGGGCAAAGTCACGAATCACAAATCTCGACGTGGAGAGACTGGTTCGTGGCCACGTCCGGCTAAGGAAACCAAGCCAGAAAGGCCAAGTACGGATATGCGAAGGGGTAACCACGTCGTGGATATGCAACACTCTCCAATCTGTTACGCTTCTCTAACATATTTTTTGAGAACAATCGAACGGAGGAGAACCATCAATCAGAGAAACTCATAGACTGTGCCGAGCAAGGCAAAGGACCTGTTGCTGAGGGTACACTGTTATAATCAACAGGTGGGCAGCAGACTAAACTTTTTGGAAATTGAGCATACTGCCTACACTGCAAGTGAGAGGAAGATACAACATACGCACTTTTTAAGTGCAAAAAAAATCAACATTTTGTTGGCGCGCTTACGGAGACGCTGAAGCCGATGAACCCCGAACGGATGGTTCGAACGGTGGAATATCTGTTGTTCCAGAAAGGGGGTACCGGCCCAGAGTGCTTTAATCAGCTCATGGAGTTTATGTGAAGGGGTGATTTTATCAGACAAAAATACCATGATACTCTGAAATCTCAGACCATGTTTTCCGCTTTACTCTATTTTTTTAGACTTGGCCAGTTCAGGACTTTGAGTGCCACTGACCAACACTTGTACGGACTCTGTAAAAATCCCAATTGTAACAGGGTTCCTTGTATCATAATGGAATGATGATTAGGAGGCATGAGTACAAGGGTATATGACCTAAGGGCTGTACTCTATAAGGCACAAACCTATACAGTCTATACAAACATAACGATATATGTTTGACACACCCCCTAGACTGCATAGGGGCAGGTCCTAACGTGAGTGCAAGCAAATCAAGGTGGCACTACTAGTCCAACCTCTGAGGCAAGGGTTTAAAGACCAGTCAAACGAGTACAGACCAATGCAAGAGCAAGCCCAGGGCGGCACTACTAGTCCAACCACTGGGAGAGGCCACAAGGCCAGTCAAGGGTAAAATATATATATAAAGGTCTGTACATAGTAAGGCCCTAGCAGATGAGAGGCTACAGGAACGTGACCTAGCTGTACACAGTGCCGCTGATGATCTTTAGGCGCAAGCGCCTTCGTAAAGATATCAGCTGTGTTGGCACCGGAGGCTAAGTGTACTACGCGCGCCTGGCGACGCTGCTGTAGCTCGCGCAGGAGGAAGTACCGCAGCTGAAAGTGCTTTGCTTTGCCCTCAAGTCGAGGCTCTTGACACAGGAGGATCATGGCTCTGTTGTCAGCGTACAGGACTGGGGCAGAGCAAGAAGGTCAGCCAGCGGAGCTCCTGTGCCGCCATGGTACCGGCGTAGATCTCGGCCTCACAGCTGGACTGAGCAACAGACGAGGAGCGAGTAGCTCTCCACGAGATAGCACCTGAACCAAGGCTAAAGCAGTAGCCCTGAGAGGACCTGAGGGTCTCGGCGTCGTCTGCCCAAGAAGCGTCCGTGTGCCCAGTAAGGACCACTGGCTTGCGTCCTCCCAGCACTAACCCTATGCCTGATGTACTCGCGAGATAACACAAAACCCTTTTAGCTGCAGACCAGTGCTGAGGTCGGTGTCTGCATGTAGCCACAAAGCGAGCCAGGATGATGAGAGGGTATGCGAGATCTGGGCGAGTGCAAGTCATCAGGTACATGAGGCAACCCACCAGCTCTGCGTAAGGACCATTGGGCTCTGCCGACTCCTTAGGAACCGGAGCAGAGAGCCTGTGATCTACTGGAAGAGGTGTGGGCTGTACGGAGGAGAACTGAAGACCGAACCTCTGAAGGACCTGACGCACCAAGTGGGACTGGGTGAGAGTGCTGGTGCGCGCTGCTCTATCTCTGGAGATCTGCAGGCCCAGGTAGTGGCGCAGCTCTCCTAGGTCAGTGCAGGTGTGTCTCCTCAGCAGCTCAGCCTTTACGAAGGCCAGTGCGGCGGTGTCTGCAGTGGCAAAGACCAGATCGTCTCCGTAAACAAGGATGTAGAACGGAGTCTGGCCAGAACAAACGAAGAGCGAGGGGTCTGCAAGGGTAGCTCGCAGCGTGTCGTGCCACTCGCGGGGCACCTGGCGCTGGCCGTAGACAGGGCGCCGCAGGAGCCACTGGGTCCCAGGAGCTAAGGTACCAGTCAAGCCCTGAGGGCGGCGCAAGTAGACCTGCTCGTGTAGACTGCCATGAAGAAATGCAGTGGAGAAGTCGAGGGAGTGTAACTCGTAGTCACGCTGTGCCGCTACGTGTAGCAGTGCCCGAAGAGTAGTCATCTTCGGGGTCGGGGCGTAAGTCTGAAAGAAGTCCACCCCTTCACGCTGACTGAAGCCTCTAGCCACGTAGCGCGCCTTGAACACAGGCGGCTCTCCAGAAGGGCGCTTCATCTTGAAGAGCCAGCGGCCATCAACTACGTTCACCCCAGGTGGGGGAACTGCGTCTACGTAGGTGCCGGTGGATCTCCAAGATGCCATCTCCTGCTCCATGGTAGTTTTCCACTGAGAGGCCCAAGGTTCCGAGGTTGCCAAAGGTGATGGTAGAAGGAGACGGACTTGTCAAAGGTGACGTCGCGGGAGTGAAAGAAACAGTGAGACGGGGGGTGGTAGGAGTGCCAGTCAGACGAGTCAAGGAGGAAACCAAGGAAGACACAGGGAACGGTGTGGGCAGTGAGCTTGTCCGTGCCAGAGGCACGAACGTGAGCAAGGCAACCCCAGACGTGGAACGTAGACGTGTCACCAGGAGACCCGGATCAAAGGAGGGTCAGCGAAACCTGCGGCTGCTGGGAGTGCGGCCACAGGTTAAGCTGGTGAGCTGCGTAACGAATAGCGAACGGCCACAGAAAATGGGGTGCACCGTCATGGATCATGGAGGTACGAGCCACCTCCATGACCAAACCGATGCATCGCTCAGCGACCCCATTCTTCTGCGGGGAGTCCGGCAGGGTGTACGTCTGGGTGATGCCCTCCGCACGACAGAAACGACCAAGGACACCAGGCAAACTCGCCACCACGGTCGGAGTGGAGCTGAGGATAGGGAGACCGCGGTGGACACGCGCAAAGACAAGCCACGGGATGAGAACGTCAGGCACGTCGGCCTTCCGCTCCAAGGGAAACACCGTGGTGTAATGCGTGTAGTCGTCGACACCGTGCCGTGTATCTGTCGCGCCAAACTTAGTCGTGTAGCGGACTCTGAATCGAGGGCAATAGGGGCAAAACTTTTGTCGTGGCACTGGGATGGCACTGTCGAACCTCTTCTCTCTCTAAGGAGGGTATTAGGGAGGCTTTCCCTGTGGAAGGTGGATATATGGAACCTAACTCTCTTGAGGATATCCCTTTTTGTCCTTGTGGTTAGGACTTGTGACTTTGTGACATGGTATCAGAGCGATCCAGAGTTCAATTATTGGTATACACGCTATCCCAGCGGGGGGTGTGTCGTGGCACTGGGATAGCCTTGTCGAACCTCTTCTCTCTCTAGGGAGGGTACTAGGGAGGATTTCCTTGGGGAAGGTGGATATATGGAGCCTAACTCTTGTGAGGATATCCCTTTTTGTCCCTGTGGTTAGGACTTGTGACTTTATGACAACTTCTTGGAAACTAGGAATTCGTCATATGTTGGTTGTCATAATTGCTCAGCCACCCATGCCACGTGAAGTGCCCCCCGCTTGGCAGGATTTCCCTCCCACAGTGAGGCTTTCATGGCAGCATGACAACTCACCACAGCTCGTTTGCCACCCTTCAGCATGCACTGAACGTCCGGCGCGGCAACGGCTGCTGTGGTGGACGCCTGTGCCCATTTCGCGACGTTCGATTGCCAGGCTCAGTGGCAGGACTAGTAGCCACATTCCGTAGCAGTCAGCCACCGAAATTGGTGAGCATGGCTCTGCGGCAGAGGAAGTGTTGCAGTCGGCCCTTGCCTGGTACCACCAAGAAACCCGCGGCTCGGGTTTGATGGGGACTCCTGCTATTGCATAATATGCAGGTTGTGCCTATAGAGGCTGGGGTTTCTGTTTCGTCCTCTAATTCTGTTTCTAGTGGTTGTATTATCGATTTCTCTCTGCCATCTGCAGCCATGGCAGAGAACCCTCTCGATACGTTAGATGCTTCTGAGGCGGGCGAGCCTCCCACAAAAGCCCGCCCTCTATGTAATGCTCGTAGTGGACTAGATTTTTTGTGCCAGATACACGCTGCTTCCCCAGGCATAGAGTACTCATCGCATGTTCCAACGCAGCCTCCCGTTCTCCTCGCCAACCCTCCCCCTGCTCCGCCCGTCAACCCTCCTCCTGCTCTGCCCGCCAACCCTCGTGTTTTCGCACCTCCTCATGTCCCTACTGCGCACATTCCTCCCCCTGCTGTCGCTTCATGTAGCAAGAGCCCTCCCCTACCCTTCGCGAGTGTGACCGCGTCGACTATCCGATACAACATCCCTAGCGTGTCCGCAGCGTCCTCGGCAAAAAAACGGCGGAAGGGTGGGTAAACCCATAGCA